CAGTTTGAAAGGTCAAATGTTTAACCACAGTGTTGACTTCTAGAGTTCTCGGGCATTTCGCAGGACGACAGTCTAAAAAGTGTGTACTGACTTTGTCACAGATGTTTAGGAGATCCAAATAACCCACACGGTTTGTATGCTGTTTCCATTACATTTACATGGGTCTTGGATGCCGTCTTCATCAACAGTGTCTCTAACAGCAGTGTCACGACACCCGCTGTCTTCTAACCCTGATTAAACCTTTGTGTCCTGTAATGTCCTTTAATCATCCCTTGAAAGATCTACTCACTTACAACAGAGGACGAGTTGGAAAATGCACCTGATTACCTGAGAGCATTGCACCAGGAAGACAACGTGCAGTCCTGTTATGAATATGTCTGCATGGGTTTCGTGGAGGAAAGAAAATGGATATTCAGAATCCACGTATCCTTGAATCATAAAATATTAAGACATGTGTTTACATAGTCGTGTGTGCAGCAGCAACCCATCAGGCTCACCCTCGCGCTGGGCTGCCATTTCTGACCTGAATTACGTCTTTTGATCATTTCGCTGGCTTTTTTTTTTTTACCAGCCGTGTTGTTTTTTGCCTTTGCGGGCCTTCGTAACAAAACGTGGTCCCGGAGACACCGGCTGTAACGAGAACCGCCACGGAAGCAGGTTCGAGGACTTTCCCAGGTTTCTTCGTGTGCAGACGGATTCTGTGAAGAGATGCAATCGGGAAAACTTGACGGTGTGTATTTGAGATCAACATGAAAGCTTGAGGTTGAACGTGGGTGTTGCGGCCATTGACCCTTTCCACCCCTGGCCTGATTTTCTGTGATCTTTAGTAAATTCATCTGTGCACCATAACTCCTGTCGTTGACCAGAATGATTTAATATGACTTTTAACTGTTTTTTTTTCCAGCTGAAATATAATGCAGCATCTGGATTAAATCAAGGCCGACTCAGACGGACTTGGCATCATTTGCTCTCAACAGCTGGGTGAATGAGTGCAATCCATATTGCTCAAAGAAGGACCAGGAGTAAAAGGGGCATTGCATTACAGGAAATAATGACACCGGTGTAAAAGCATATCGCTGAAAGAGGTTTTCCATACGAATTAGTCGGTTACATGTTCCCAATGTCCTGTGAAGTTGGATGGGGGAGGGGCATGTAACCTTAGATTTCTTGTGTCTGCACCCGCTCAGCTCAGCACCTGTCCCTAAAGGCAAATTAATCCCGTACCCAAAACATACCCCTCTCCCCCACCTCTGTGCACGGACACGACACATCTGTCTCAGCCGTTACCCACGGCCGGACATGTTTCTGGGCCGCGTCTCACGCCACCTTCGTACAAAGGTCACTACAGCGCAGCACTTTGACTCTTCCCTCCTCGTGTGACCTCAATGTAGGTAAAGAATAGACAACAGAACACGATGGCCAGAGGAAAGAGACTCGAGATCTTAACACTGCCTCACAATGGTGTATTCAACAGGGGGCTTTCCTGCCTTTTCGAGGGATTTATGTGTTTTTAAAGCACGGTGCTCAACTGCAATGCTTACTATCAATACAGTAATTATTTGAATGAAGGCCTTTTTTTCTTTTTACATCTTTTAATTGATACATTGACATTTGCAAAGGACGTGATCATTTTTACTGCGTCATAAATCCCACTGAGGCCATCTGGCTCAGACCAGTGTGCCTGTGAACGCAGAGTGGTGCAGGGGCCCAGTGCTCAGGTGGTCGCTGCCCCGATAAGACATGGCTGTTGGCTATTCTCAGTTTAGCTAGAGAACATCATCAACGGCCAATCACGGGGTTCTGGCACCGGACCCTGAAGATCAAAACCACGGGGACGAGGCATGCGTGTAAAGCGGCTTATTCACGCTTACTTACACAAATGTAACAGATGTACAGAATTTGTTTTTGCTTTGACTGGGAAATAATCCTGCTTTCCTTTTGCATAAAAAATATGTTTTCTATTGCCTTGACACTTGTCTAATATTATTTCCAAGTATCGTGTTAGCTCTCATGGCCGAACCTGTGGCGGCATGATGCTGCATCTATTTATTTAACTAACAGCTGCGAAGAGAAGTAAGAGAAGAAAACAACAACAAAAAGCAATAGTAGCTGCGCTTCTTTTAACGAGGAGTTCACATTATTTGGTTTGGGGCAGATTCATTAAACACATTTGATCTCTGCCTATGAAGATCACTACCGGTTTGTATTATTTACACCCGTCGAATATCCCAAAACTCTGCAAGAAAACAAATTTTGTAGTTTAAAATTATCCCCAGCAAATCCAAACAACATTTAATAGGTTAAAATATTTATGCATTTCATGGATTTTTTTTTTTCATGGAACAGCTTTGAGTCCCGAGGTGAAGGTGTGTACAACACAACACACACACACACACACACACACACACACCAATATTGTTGGCATATTCCCCTTCTCAATTACACAAACGTCTTAAAACTCGGTCTCAGCAGGTCCGTCCTGCACTTCACTGCCCCGTACCTGAAGGATATTTGTGTGTTGGGTTTGTTTAAGTGAAGTGTGCGTGGGCGAGAGAGAGAGAGAGAGAGAGAGAAAGAGAGAGAGAGATGAAAACAAAGAAGACAGGCAGGGCTGAGTGAAAGGCATGTACTATATATGTCCCGTCCCTCCTTCGTGCTGCTCAGTGAGCCATGTACCCGGCCTTGTAGACGGCAACGTACTTGATTACTTTGTCAGTCTTCTAAAGTGGCTTTTTCACTGCGGAGGAACAGGAAGACGCGTCCGACAGAGGATGTCCAACGGAGAGGAAGAAGTGCAGGGGGGGGGGGGGGGGGGGAGAGAAGACGCCTCCTCCCAATGGAGGGAAATTTATATTTTGAGGTCCTGGGGGGATAAATAATCGAAGAACCATCAAAAACGTCACGTTTTTTCAAACCAAACAACCAGGACTTCGTGTCATGTGTCTCGTGCAGCTGCTCTGCATATAACCAACTCTACTTCTGCTGTTACATACTTAAAAAGAATGAAATAAAACAAATTCACCCATCAAATATAAGGATAACCAGCACATTATTTTACCTATAAGAATGCACATTTTCAAGATCAAAATTGATTAATTAAATTCAATTGATTAATTAACACGTTTAAAAGCTTTTAAAAATGATATATTTTACAATTACATATAATGGGTGTTTTATTCCTCCAGTTAGACAGCGCCACCCGTTGGCCACATCGGGTACTCACCTCTTCATACCATCATCCCCACGCACCGAATGTCTGCCTCACTACACATGCCTGCTTCTCTCTAAAATATGAATATGTTACATGACACACGGACGCAAGTGTGATAAGAGGATCTATATTTGTAATTACAGTGACGCTTTGTACGGTTTCTATCTATTGATGCTTGAGGCAGTGCGTAAGAGGCATGTGTTTAAAAAAAACGCTTGGTCGCCGTTTGTATGAAAGAGAAGTTTCTCTTCCAAACCTTACAAGAGAAACGCCCCAGACAAACAATGAGCCGTCTCTTTGATCAATAGGCAGTTGTCGTGTGGGTTTTAGTGGCCCCTCGGTTGGCGCACACCTGTTGTTCTACTGTTTCAAGGGTGCATGCAGGTCCTTTGAGCCTCTGAAAGTGTTGGATCTAAAACTGTTGTACTTTTGCATCAGCTGAAGATCTTAAAGGTCTTCGGCTGATCGTATCTTTTTTTTGAGCGTAAGGTTGAAAGTAGGCAATCGGATAATACACACTACTGGCACAAGGAAGAGTCATTATATTACTGTTCTTTCAAAACTCACTACTGAATTAGATATTGATTAAATAGTAAATGTTTGAGAGCAAATGCAGATTATACTGAGAATAGAAGGGGGACTCAGCAGAGCATAAAATAGTTTTTCAAAAGAAGTAAATGACTGAAGGCTCACATTATCAGCAGTTGTTTATCATACACTCAGAAAGTTGGACACTTATGGAATACTTGACCCAGCAGGGTGTATTGGTCGGTGTGGCAGCGGCTGAATAGGAAAGACAACTCGACCTTTACTCACAAGGTCTGGCAGATCAATCCCCGCCTCCCTACTGTCCGCATGTCAAAGTGTCCTTGGGTCTGAAGTCGAAGGTGCTCCACATCAGTGTTACTGTAAATAGTAACAGGGACATCGTAGGGGTCGTCAGCAAGCAATATTTATATGTGTACAAATGTATTCTTATATTTATGTTGTATGTATATATGCTGTAATTCTTGTACCTGTACTCTTATATTTTGCCCTTGCGTGTAAAGCACTTCCATTTTTCATCAATGAAATGTGAATATAAATACAGTAACCATTGCCAAATTGCCATTGGCTACTAGGCAGCCAAATCATAATAATTTGATTTAGCCATCCAGTTGCTTTAATCCATCTTCTGTTCGCATCAGTTATTTTCACCCGAATCTTAGGGATCCTCAGGAAGTTAGGGACAACCCTGCTCTGAACAGGGTTGAGCCCGGGGCTCAGAATGACAATATCCCAAATTTGAAATTAACTCAGGGCTAACAGAGCCCTAAAACCTAAACTACGGGAGGTTACAGACAAAAGCTAAATATAGCCTTGATGATGTTGTGATGTCGGTTGAGGAGATGCATGCCTTAAGGACCTGAGCGTGCACAACATATTACATATTTTAGTCAAGTCAGTGACTGTTGTTCCTTTTAGGAGTCATTATTTATATTAATATCTGAATAACTAAGCTGCCCTTGATTTTGCACTACATTTTAGTCTTTGATTGGTAATGTTTATTGGTTAGGCCTGTTATGAAAAATATAGAACGTTTTTTGGTATTATCAGTCTTACAAAGGCAGGGCAGTATTAACATGTTTCCATGTGCCGGCCAGCTGAAAAATACATGGTTTCTATAAAAGATATGGTGAGAAAAGCAAATGTTGTTTTTCCTCACACGAAACTTTTCTGACACTGGTGCTTTTATTTTGGAAGTAAGGGGAACGCAGAAGTGACGTCATTCTTGGTGGGCGGGACTACCTCTTGTAACTTCCACCAATAGCATTCTTGCTTGGTAAAATATGAAAATGGCGGCTCTCTGTAGTGAGTTTGGGGACCTGGTGCAAATCAAGAAACAGCTAATATCGGTGATATCGCTTTGTAAAGAAAGAGGACTTTTACACAGCTCTAAGTGGTGAGATTATTGCTACTAATTTAGTTTGAACTGCCCTTCTCTCTGTTACGCGCTGTTGCATTAACTTAGCGTTGACGCTTGTCAGTTAACGTTAGCTTGTTGACAAGTTTCATTATATCAATTTAGCTAAAGCCGATTAATACATTAGATAATTACACAACGCTATTAAGGCCATCTCCTAGTTGAGTCCTTCTTTACGTGATTTCTGAAGTTTGAATGTATATAGCTTAGTTATCAATGCTAACGTTAGCTAGCTACAAGATGTGTAACCTCAACGCTATTTCTCTAACGTTAACAGTTAATGGATTTAAATTATAGATGTTGTCAATTGTCTCCTATTAGCAAAAATACAACGCTGACACTACTGGACAATGTTCGTTCGTTTGAAAATCGAGTAACGCGGTGTTCCATGCGTTGTGTGTTTACCTTTCAGGGCATCTGAATTGGCGTTTGCGTTGAGTCCTCTTCCCAAGGATGAGTTACCGCCGTCCCCTCCTTTCACTGAGGTTTGTCCATGATTCCTTTTTTTAGCTGTGATCAGTCATTTTAATTACTGCTGTTTTATCAGTATCACACGTGGACCGTCTAATTGTTCTACTAATTCAAGCTTTCTAATATTTACACACAGTATCATGTGTCAAGTGAAATATTCCAACCAGAAGTATCCACATTGAGTGACTGCATCATTCCATTAAATGGAAGAAATATTCTTTTTTTTGTGTCATGTTATACACATCCTCAAAATCCACCCACCCATGGTGCTCGGGGGAAGAATTCAAAATGAGGTTTTTCAAAGAATAAAGAAATGCAGAAAATCTAGTCTGGTGGCTCCATTGTTGAGCACATCGAGCTGGATGCGAGTCTTATGTTTTAAGTTGGTTCTTGTACTTTGCACTGACCAACAAAGGAACCAGCTAAGCAAAGACACACTTTTGAGCTTTGACTGTTTTACACAAGGAGGAAATAAATATGTGGTTCAAAGCTGCAGCACTTCATTCTCACGTCTGGTTTGCCATTTAATGTTAACCTCTTCTGTCCAGAAAGTAAAGGTTCTACTGCCCTCTGGTGACAGTTGGCTTCATGTAGAAACAAAATAGTTTCCCGACAATTTCTACAATATGAAAATATATTTGTTTTTCAATGAAATTTTATTTGATTAATGAACTTGACTGTATAAAGATGATGTGGCTTTTTCTCTATTTCATTGTCTTCACAAATACAGGACGACGCGCAAGACCTGGATGCACTTACGGTGGCCAAATCCTACTTTGACCTAAAAGAGTATGACCGTGCTGCTTACTTTCTGAGAGGCTGCTGCAGTCGGAAGGCCTATTTCCTCTATATGTATTCTCGCTATCTGGTAGGATTCTTTCAATTTTGGCCAGCGTTGAAAAGACTGCTTTCAGTGTGATTGCAATGCTTGGGAATCGTCGTAAAAATTGTCCCTTTTTGTGTCTAAAGTCAGGTGAGAAAAAGAAGGATGATGAGACTGTGGACAGCCTGGGTGAGGACTTCTCTTACTTCGCATTGTGTTTGAAATATTCAATATTTTTGTTACCTTACATGCTCAACTTTTTTGTGATTTCATTTTGCTGTACAAGGTCCTCTGGAAAAGGGTCAGGTGCGCAACGAGGCCCTGCGAGAACTGCGAGTTGAGCTCAGCAAGAAGCACAATGCTGGAGAGTTGGACGGTTTTACCTTGTACCTGTAAGAACTGTTCCTCCAATGTGTGTGTATACTTACATCAGATCATTCAGAGGAATACAATGGACTTCTCATGAGCTGCATACGTGTGTGTGTGTGTTTGTGTGTGTGTGTGTGTTTGTAAAAATACAGGTATGGGGTGGTGCTACGGAAGCTTGATCTGCTGAAGGAGTCGGTGGAGGTGTTTGTTGAGGCAATTCATGCACTGCCGCTTCACTGGGGCGCCTGGCTGGAGCTTAGTAACCTTGTCACCAACATTGAAATGGTGACTGCCTTTTGTGTTTACATGTACACATTGTGGAGAAGGTGAATGTGCCCGGATCCACAGGAACCGTTTTCCGCTGAAAAGCACTTCTCGCAACACAACCTTATGACCACTAATATATGCTTTACAAAGACACTTTAAAGAAAGGCATCTCAGGTAATTATATGGATGGAAATTATTCATTGGTTCTTGGTTCTTCTTCTGCAGCTGAAGTCCCTCTCGCTCCCAGACTGCTGGATTAAGGACTTCTTCATGGCCCACATGTACACAGAGCTACAGATGATCAAAGAAGCATTGCAGAAATACCAGAACCTCATTGATGCCGGCTTTTCGAAGAGCACCTACATCATCTCACAGATTGCCGTCGCCTACCACAACATCAGAGGTTTTAGATTCTACCTTTTCAATGAGACTTGTGCCTCTCAGAAGATTGTGATGGAAGATCTGTTTTAACAGGCTCTATTTATTTCAGATATTGACCAAGCTTTGGCTCTCTTCAACCAGTTGAGGGAGCAGGATCCATATCGCATTGACAACATGGACACATTCTCCAACTTACTCTATGTCAAAGTGGGTTCATGTCACTCTCTTATCTTTTATTTGACCTTTGTAAGTTCGTATGATCTAAGTGTTGTTGTTTTTTCAACTTTCTGTGGCTTTAACAGAGCATGAAGCCAGAGTTGAGTTACTTGGCCCACAACCTGGTTGAGATCGACAAGTACAGAGTGGAGACGTGCTGTGTTATTGGTAAGAAAATCCAATCTGGTCAACACTGATTGAATTGTGATGTCACAATTGGTTTTACGAATGCATGAAAAATATTGTAACTTGTCAAACATTTTAAAGTCAACATTACAAATTTCAGTAATTTGAGTATCAAGTTGTGTCTCATCCACAGGTAACTATTATAGTTTACGCTCTCAGCACGAGAAGGCAGCTCTGTACTTCCAGCGCGCCCTCAAACTGAACCCCCGATGCCTCGGTGCCTGGACCCTCATGGGCCATGAGTACATGGAGATGAAGAACACTTCTGCTGCCATCCAGGCCTACCGGTCAGCATGTTAAAATGCATCTTTATTCTCACTGTGTTCAGAACCAGATAATCGATTCCTCAAAACCCTTGGTGGTGACGGGAGTTTAGAGCAACCAGGTGGTAGACCGATCCCTGCTGCCTTTGGGCACAGAGATAATTGTAGCTGACTTTAGGCGTGTGGGCTTTGTAGGTACCTGGGAAGCTTGTGGGTTTTTTTTGTGTAAATGTTGGAGTTGAGACCTTTCACAGCAGCGCGTGACGGATTCATAGCCACTGTGTCGTTGCTGCCCGTGGTTTCCTCGTATTGATGTGCGTTCTTTCCATCAGGCACGCCATTGAAGTGAACAAGCGGGACTACCGTGCCTGGTACGGCCTCGGTCAGACATACGAGATCCTCAAGATGCCCTTTTACTGTTTGTACTATTATCGAAAAGCCCACCAGCTCAGGTACGGGTTTGCTCAGCAGGAGGAAAAAGAAGAATTCAAATATTTTTAAAGAAAACATTTTAGAATCCACCAAATGCGTCTTTTTTAGGCCCAATGACTCGCGTATGTTGGTCGCACTGGGGGAAAGCTACGAGAAGCTGTCGCAGCAAGTGGAAGCCAAGAAGGTACGCATGTCACACCCGTCGCTGAGGCCCGCTTTGCGTAATAAGTCCTCCTCCAACCTCATGGCTTTTTTTTGTCTAGTGTTACTGGAGAGCATACTCTGTTGGAGATGTAGAGAAAATGGCTCTACTGAAGTTGGCAAAGTAAGTCTCCGTTTACTTTCTCCTACGTCACCTTTTCTTCAACATGAATGCATAAGATTTGAGCAGCAGTTTCGCCGTTGTCACATTTCGACATGTTGATTGAATCATTGAGAAATGGAGGCTAAGCGTTGGTCTGCTGGTTCCTTCGACAGGCTCCACGAACAGCTGACTGAGTCGGATGATGCTGCCCAGTGTTACATGCTTTACATCCAAGATATCTTCTCTTGTGGGGTAAGCATGTTGGAATACAACAATACCTATTCAGATTTGACACTTCTGTCCACATGCTTTTTTACATTTATGACGTTTTCTTTTCTTTTTTATGACATACAACTATATTGGGACATTTTGACCTTCTTTCAATGAACCCTTGATAGCATATTAAATGATGTTAATACAACCTTTTTATGACATGATATGTGACTTTTGAAAGGAAATGTATATGCCACAGCTGACACTTTTATCCAAAGCGACATACATTGCATTTTTAGCCCGGGGAGTAATTAGGGGTTAGGTGTCTTGCTCAGGGACACTTCGACATGGAGCAGCCAGGGCTCATACCGCCAAACTTGCGTTTTACGGCGCCCCCCTCTACTCCATGCGCCGAACGGCTACTCCATTTAAGAGCTTCAAGTCAAACTGGAATGACCCGAGATCCTTTAAGTCTTCCCAGAGTTGGAGGCTATTGAATGCATGTGGGTTCTAAAATGAAGAATATAAAATGCATGCACTGTAATTGTTTGGAAGAAATCCATTTCTGATCCCGTATCCTCATCGCAGGAACAGCTGGAGCACGCGGAGGTGAGCACAGCCCTGCGGTACCTGGGTCAGTACTATTTCAAGAACAAGCTCTATGACGAGGCGTCCCTCTGCGCTCAGCGCTGTTGCGACTACAACGACGTAAGTGCGCCGTGCCGCGGTTCCCTGTGGTCGGAGTGGAAGTGGAAGGAACGCGCTAACTGGTGTCTGTGGTCGTTGTGCCCGCAGGCTCGCGAGGAGGGGAAGGCGCTGTTGAGGCAGATCTCGCAGGTCAGAGATCAGACTGAGACGCCGTCGGCTGATCTGTTTGCGCCGCTCTCAAACAACAACACGCCCGTCAGGAGGGTGTCGCCGCTCAACCTCATCTCCTTTACACCCTGACACTCACGCTCATCCACCGGCCGATTTCTTAATGACATTAAAGTAACATTTTGTTTGTAAAATGTTCACTCCTGATAATTTGTCTCCAGGAAGAGATACTGTGTAGCATAGACAAAGTGTCATTTTAATATTTCTATCGTGGGAACTATCCTAGAGCAATGTTTTTTATCAATCCCCTGACTGAACTGCAACCCCGTATCAATGTGTGCAGCGGCCCCACAGTCCCTCTTCTGCAAGAATGTGGTGTGATGGAGGAACAGCGCCTGAGGTGGGCAGCTTCTATCAGGGTCTCTGCAACTTGAACTGGTTTAAAAGGAAAGTCAACTGAAGGCTGGCACATGCTTCTGCGTCGTGGCGTCAACGCACTCGTTTCAATTCATGGTTCTGCGCGTGTTGCAGAGCAATTCACCTCCAGAACAGGCGGAGTAACGTTTTTGTTGACGACCTAAAGAGTCACGTCTATTTGTTTATCATAGACTTGATTGCCCCGTGCATTGCTGCTTTTCAGCAAGGACACATTTGTCCCGTATTTTCCTCCACAACTTTGTGCACCTCTCGACCGGCGTTTGCGGCGATCTCCCTCCGTGAATCCAACCCGCTTCTACAACCGCCAATGACGGCTTGTAGAAGCGGTCATATTTGCGCATTTCTTCCGACAAAAGTTCCTAAATCTGATCCGTTCTCTCGTAAACATTAGTTTTAATAATGGCGGTATCGGGCTATGAAAGCGGAAATGTGAGACTCCGTACAGGACGTAGTTAGCGGACCAATCGCAGCCTTGTGCGCTGCGGGAGGCTTGCGTCGCAAGCCTAGAAAAATGGCTCGACCCACGCAAGGTGGTGTGAAAAGCGACGCAAGGGGGGCTTGGGTCTGCGTCGCTCTGAAAACGCAGAAGCATAAACCAGGCTTGAGTGAGCCAGAAAGACTCCTTTTGGCACCTCAGTGTCAGTCAGGCGCCACAATAGCGACACCCGTCAAGCCAGATTTGATTTGGCAACAATACTTTTATTCATATACAGCAATCCAATAATGAAAATCAAGCAGGCATTTTAGCATTTAAAAGCAGATTTATAAAACGTAATCACAAATACATGCCTAGGCACTGTCACATTAGCAGATGAAAATATCTTTGGACTTAATGGATTATAAAACGTTTTTAAATTCTAAACTAGAAGCTTTATTTGCATTTTAGCTGTTGTAAATGACTATGGAATCTTTTGCAATTTCTTCATAATTTTATTTCAGAAAGCATAAAAACATACCTTCATTAAAGTCTGATTAAACACTTAACGGTTCTTAATGTACAGTCAATATTTTACTTGCATTATAGAGTACTGATAAGCATGTTTTACTGGCATGAACGTAACAGTTAGAAACACAGTGAGTAAACTTCACTGCAAAAATGTGAATACCATATAAAGTAAAATACTATAAAGTTTTTTTGGGCATAATGTCAAACAGGACGAACTCCAACAATACAAAAGCTCATTTCTTTCCCCTGAGACTGCGAGGGGTGGGGGCGGGGCTGTAAGTAGGCGACTGCTGTCGAGAGCGCAAGATCCGGGAGTAAGGAGTATTGCCACTTGCTGCTTCTGCAGCGCAGGTGTTGATTTTGCGTGTCGGAGTGTGTGTCGGGAACAGCGACTGGAAAAAGGGCCTTTTTTGGGGCGGCCGGTTCTCGGCGCCGCCCGGTGCGGCGACCTCGTAGCCCCTCTTCTGGCAGGGATCTGGCGTGATGGAGGCCGCGCAGCCACGGGAGGGAAGCGGGGACATGTTGGCCTGTGCCCGGGACAGGCTCATTGCTTGCTTCCTCATGTCAGCCTTCACAAGCATCAGGCCATTCTGGAGTTCTGACAGGATCTGGTCCTAACAAGAAGTCAGTGCACAGGGTTAGCAGAGACCACAGAGGGTGAGGTGAAGGATAAGGTGAGAGGTTAAGAGACAGAGATGATAGCAAGAACCAAAAGAACTTTTGTGCATGCCTTTGCATAGCAATCACCTGGTGCAGATGTTAGAACCCTACATTTGGTTTAAAAGCTTAGTTGTGCATAAAGTGTTAGAGAAGAGAGTGGAGGGAGAGAGAACAAAGTATTTTAAAATCGAGAAATGCACTTAACAGATGCTGCTTGAGATAATAATTACAGGGTCTCCCGTTAGAACCATTTTAAGTTTAAAATTAGTTTCTACCTGTTTGGCCAGAGTCTCGTCTGCAGCCGCCAGGTCCTGCCGCAGCCGCTCCCCTCCGGTGTTGCGACAGCAGGCCCGTTCGCCCGACTGCAGGTCGCTCCCGAGCCTCAGCAAATCCAGGCGCAACTGACGCAGGTTCTGTTGGGGGAGGAGCGGTCCAGATTTTAGTCTTTATGGGGGTCAAGGGTCAACGGCGCATGTCACACGGTGCTGCGGCGACTGACCCGTTGTCCGTCCTCGAGCTTGCGCTCGGCGGCGAGAGTGCTCGATGAACCGGGGCCGTCAATCTGCATCTTCAGTTTCGTCATCTCTGCACAGGCAAGTGGAACGAGACAGTCAGAAACACGAACAACAGCCTACCACACCAACGCGTCATCGGCGCGGGGTCGCGGCCACCTTGAGACTTGGTGAGCAGCTGGGCGCGACACTGGTCCAGTTCTGCGTGCAGCCGGCCACATTGCGCCTGACTGGTGAGGCGCTGAGAGCGCCGCGGCCCCTCGGAGTCTCCGTGTGGCACCGACTTTTCTGCCGCTTTGGTCTTATCAAGGGCTTCAGACAAAGCTTTGATCTCCTGATCACGCTCCTAGAAGAAAGGAAAACAGATTTAAAAAGATTACTTTGTGAATGCACATCACATTTGAGGATAGATCATTTAACTGAAGAGCAGATTGTGTGTATCACAGCGGGGAGAGGGGGGCAGACACTGTTTGAAATGATGATTTAGGACTCACCATCAACTCCTCGCTGTGGAATTTCTTCAAATGTTTTTGGACATTTGTTATCTTGTCTTCGTACCTCTCTTCGATTAGAGCCTTCTCTGCCTCCAAGGTCTCACTGTGAGGCAAGAAGACAACGCAGTGTTATCTGCCGTAATCATTTTTACATTTCAACTTCCAACTTTGATTTTCAACTTTTCTTTCTTAAATTGCTTGACAAGCAATTATTGGCTAATTCTGTTACAACAAGACTCATGGCCTTTCATCTATAACATTGCAAGCACGTATAAATGTTCTCCTCGGTAAATAAAAAGAATCATGAAATCCAAGTATTTTCTCAAAACACTGCTTGTAAGATAGCTTTAGTTTGTATGAATACAAAATAATTCAGATAAAAAGGATACATATAAAGCAGGAGAAGGACTTGAGTAACGAACCCAAAGCATGATTTAGTGTAACGAGAAAAAATCTTTCATACACAAAAACTAGCTAGCTAATTCCCTTAGAACACACACAACTTTTTATAAGCATACTATGTCATTACGTTTGTCTGGTACCGTGTGCCAGGACACAAAAAGACCAAAAAATAAATAAGAGGTGAAAAGATTCGCTGCACACCTGAAGCCATCTTCCATCCTAGAAATCACCTCCATCATCTCAGAGACCACCTGCTCTCTCACATTTGCCTCGAGAGCATCTTTCTCCGCCCTCTGGCGCTGCACTTCTCTCTTCAGGACATCGATGGCCTGCAGCAAAGCCTTAATAAAGCACAGTGAGCTATAAGAAACATTTCCCAAATGTTTTGAGTTGATATTTAAGAAACAATGTCGTTGAAATCCTTGACGGCAGTTTTGTACGATTGCTTTAGAGATTTAAAATAGAGTACGTAAGCAGGGCCGCTTACCTCAGTATTTAACATGGTGATATCTCCTTCTTCCACCTCACTCTCATCTCCATCCTCTTCCATCACTGTGCTTTCGTTACCATTTGCTGGGGGCTCACGGAGAAGGGACAGGATGTAGGCTACTCTGGTCTTTGTGGACGGGCCGTGGACCAGCTGAAATTACACAAAGGAGCTTTTAATTCTCCTTTTACTTTGGTCGTACATTAAAAAGATGTCACAGCAGAAGTCGAACAATACAAAAAAATGTTTTGTTTTTTACTTGAGTAGCAATAGCAGAGAACTTGAGGGCTTGGAGCGTCTCGTCGTAGATTGAGGAACATGGGTTGATGTTCACCACCATGCTGGACGTTCCTCGTCCACAGAAGAATCCCTGCAGGACCCGGGTCATCTTACTGTCCCTGAAGGGCACCACTTGAGGGGGTCGCGATCTGGGGATGTCATAGAAAGCGTTTAAAATGCTCTCAGATGGCCTAAAAGTGCATTTTCCGGGACATGGATAAACACGTACTTGTTGTTCTGGTTGTGCCTCAGAGCAGCAATACAGCGTCCCAGTGTCAAAAGAGACGTGTTGATGTTGTTGGCCTCTTTCATCCTCTCCCCATTACGCTGCTCTTTAGAGCGTTCCGACCCAGCCAGATCACACACGGTCAGTCTAAAAGGGAAGAAAGTGCAAGTCGCAATGTGGCTTTAATGCTTTAGCCCAGTCAAACGTACCAAAATCCATCAAAGGTCACATTTAAACTTGCGAGTCAACTTACTCGCTGATGTGCGGGGGCTCTGTCGAGCCGGTGTCTGGATGGACGTGCAGGACACGGATGGAGAAAATGCTGTGACTGAGAAGGCGACACAATTATTAACAGAGATGCAAGGAGCTTTTAATCCAAACACACCGAAATTTATGGCTAAAGTTGAAAATTCTTCTACCTGCGGCTGGAGTTCTGATTCAGGTGCGTGCTGGCAAAGCTCTGGTTGCGACGCCCGGCTCTCAGAACACTCCACGCCTCCTCGGCACTGCGGACCTGGATCCAGGCGAGGTCTGATGTAACCGGTGGAAAAAGCAGACAAGTTATGCATCATCTATTCAAATGTTTTTGCCCAAAAGAAGATTCAGCTTAAGAACGTAAGTGCCTGCTTTATTAAGTGCAACGGTCATCGGAGGGGAAGCTGCATACTGGGATAGAGCTTTGGCAGGTTCCCACATACACACACAACCATTTAAACAGTGCTGCATTTTAGAAACATCACTTCCGTGAATGAGTAACGGTCACCTTTCACGTAAGGGTTTCCGTACTTGTCGTCGCTCAGCCGCAGCGTGGCCCTTTTCCTGGGCTGCAGGGAGGGCGAAGCATCCAGCAGGTCGTACAGGAACTCGTTGTAGATCTCGTAAAAAGCCACCCAGATAGAGAACTGCACCCCTTCCGCCAGGTCGGTGGCTCCGCTGTGTGAAAGGCTGTCAGGCTCCAGACAAACACTGTCAGTGTCTGCAAAAACAACATGGGATGCGCTTTATAAAAACCCACTGAAGATTTGAATTAGAGTATGTGTATAGGTTAACAATACATCAACCGTAACATATGAACCGGTTGAGCTTTACGGGACGCACCGGGGCGAGCTCAGTGGCGCCGGGCCCGGTTTGTGAGCAAAAACAGCCACAGCGCATCAGTGTGTGTGTGACAGACTTTAAAGTGTCCCATGGGTTATATTCTGATGTCCTCCTCACCTTCAAGCTGGGTGACAATGTTGCTTGTAGAGGAGAGTCCTCCGATGCCGCTGTCCCAGGTTGTAGTGTTGCCACCTCGACGAGAACTCAGATTCTCATTCTGTAACAAAAAGACAACGCAAACATTTATACTCAGGACTTTGTATGAATAGAGATGCAATCTGATCATGCGTCTTGTGCAAGAATGCTGGAACCCAATAAACATTTTCAGGGTTAAGAAAAAAAAATTACGATACAAAAGTACATTATTCATGTCATACAATCTTTCATATGTTTTGCTTGCTTACCTCTTTAAGCAGAGAGTTTCTGCGGATTTCTTCCACCCTGATCTCCCCCGAGTCCAGCTGTCTCACATCCTGATACATGACGGGCTTCAGGTCCATGGCACCGTAGAGGCGACCCTGCAGCTTCCTGAACAGAGATGCCAGAGCCCGGGGCAAGAGGCCCGCCTCTCGACCGCTGCCTGTGGGTCAACGTCTCAGACTTTACATTTGCTTTCTAAGCATTCAGCTGGCCAGATGAGCATTGAGGGTTCTATAAATGCATATCCAACATTCCACAAGGCTGCGAGCACACAAACAAAACCAAACCACAGCTTTTTACTGATGTGTTTGGGATTATTTTTACCCTGTATGGTGTAAGTCTTCCCAGAATTGGTGACACCATACGTGTAGAGGAGGCGGTTTTCTCCTTGAAGCACATCTGTCACCATCTTTTTCATTGTGCACTCGTAGAACTGTTGCTGTGTGGTCTCTGGCCCAAAGATCTACGACAGATCGGCGGTGAGAAACCATCAGTAGGCTTTTTCAAACAGCTAATATGAACAAAAGCAAAATGTTACTGCTACAGCTGTACAGGTTTCAACCAGTCAGCCTGTACGTTTTACTCAAGGATGGTCCATTGGCATTGGTTGACATGTCTATAACTAGCAATACATTAGCATTTAACGAAATGCACGAGCACGACACTACCTTTGAGAAGCTAAACTTGTGCATGCTTTGGGTGATTCCCCTCTCTGCGGTCCTCATGTTCTGAGATTCTTTTGGAGCTTTGAGCAGGAGTGTCTCTTCGTCTTGGACATCCACACAACCCTTGATTAAAGAAGAGTGAAACTTAAGCACGGGAGTAATAGAAACAATTGATGTGCATTGTCGACCCACAGAATCGTAGTCTTACCTGTTCTTCTACCCTCTGACTCTCAGTCTCAGTAAGTGGCCGGATGCGCAGGAAAACCTGCACCCTCTCCTTGTCCCCTCCCTCACAACTACCTTGTCTCAGCGCTCCAGGTTTCACTGACAGTTTCTAGAGGAAACAAATTCAAAACATCTTATAGAATCATTTAAAACCAAAAGAAAGCAAAGCAATGGTAACATTATTGGTTTCAAAATACCCACTGGTTCTGCGATGGAGGGCCGGGGCTCCAGGCCGGGGGAAATGACGGAGATCTCGGGTAGACGGGGCCTGGACGGGCCTCCATGCTCCGCTGCCGTAGACTCAAACACGGCCACCTCCTCATCCTCATCAAGGTGATAGCCACTCGGGGAGGACAAAGTCAGCGCCATGCTCACCTGTTACAAGAGGGGAAATTGTGAGGAGCAAACAAGTTAGAATGAAGTCATTTAAAACTCATTTCAAACCTCACAGAGCGTGTCCTTTTGCTTATTCTCGGGATCAAAATACAAGATAAAATAATTCCATATTTAAACAGATCTTAATGCTGCGTAAGAACTCGTCTCAATTGATCGCACACACACACACACACACACACAAAATTAAAACATGGGTGTGTCATGAGACAAGGTGAGTAAACACACAGCAACTGGGTGAAACTTGTTTTCGCTACAAAGCCAAACAGCCCGAATGAAAGAATAGTCAAACAAGTGATTCCTCAGGGAATCACCTGTCGTGACAAGTTCCGTGTGCAGAATGACACCAGTGACGTAAACTAAAAGCCGCATTGAGAGTTGATCCTACAAGTTAACACATGTCCAATCCAACCATATATAAACCATTAAAAAAAAAGAACGAGTTACGTTTAAGGTCTTTAACGCAATATTTTTTACCATATTTATGCAAGACATTTGCAAGGTTTCGGGGTGACTAGAATGCATTATGTGACGTCACGTTGACCTTAGCAGGAAGATACAAACGTTACAAAGAATACTTACCTGGCCTCACGGTGGACGTTAGTTTTACGTTAAGTTAAGATGTTTCCCGGCAGAGGTCAACTTGACAAAGTCGGGTAATGTTTTTTTTTTCTTATTGGCGAATCTGAACTTTAATGAGAAAAAGCGTTTCGACTCGACGGCGAGTCGAGCACACGAGTTACAAGTCACGTTTCAACGTGCGACAACGAGCTCCGTCCTGTGGTCACTCTCACCAACACAACGCAGGAGCTGGATTTGCTAGCAGGATTTAGCTAGGTGAACTTTTAAAATGAATGAATGATTACAGCTGTCAATAACTTAATGTTAAACGGTTTATTGTTGTTCGCGTCGAAAGGACCAACGGTTCATTTATCCTTAACGTTAACTTACCTCGAATGGCGAAAGTGCGTTGAACGGCTTGATAGCAGTTAAATATCCTTAAGTTACTGGGTATATCAGCTAAACTAAAGCTACTTACTTTACGAAATAAAACTAGTATAAGTTTGCAATAAAGCTACACGAAGCTAGCCTATTGCTCCTTCTCGACATCGAAACACTCTGAGCCCCAGCTGATTTAGTTCACCCAACGTTTGGTTTTTGAACAATGCGCTTCCCTTTCAGAGCAAGTCGCTGATTGGCTAAAGCCAGTGACGTTGCGCTCGAAGCATCCTACGTAATGTGACGTTGGCTAAGCAGAAGTATCGCGACAAGATGGTTCGACTGTCTCGCTTCGTCATAAAGTCACGTGATGAGAGTAGCTCTAGCTGGGTTTGAAAACGTTTTTTATATAATATATGTATTTTTTAATCGTAAATATGCAATGTTGAAAAAAAAGTGCCGCCGACAGAGAAGTGCAGACTTTCTACAAAATTAAAAAGTCGTTTTTATTTCACAGGCTTACCAAACAGTTTGCTAGCCTACATTTTACATGATAACAGGAGTGATACAAATGTGTTAAACACCGGACAGACAATAGAGGCTATTTTAGGAATCATGCAGTAGACAAAAAGGCCAAAGAAAATAAATCCCTGCCTCTAGCAATATAATATGTCTTATGTGAAAGAAAAATGCATGAATGTGAGGTAATGTCTCTAAAAAGTTGAGTATATTGATAACAAAACAATGAATCATACATACAATAGCCATATTTAATAAGATCTTTTACCTCTGATTCATGAGCTGCGTGGAGAGTCATTCAGGGATTTGTGTCAATGTGATTTACATACAAGTGGGTGACCAACATTTGGAATCACTATCAAAAACCAAATAATCTAAAACAATAAAATAACAAACTTTTCCAAACATCCAACTTGAAAAGAAGATCAGAATACAGTTCAGGGGGATGTGACTCCAATGCTTTATCATGTTTTTTACTGTATAAAACTTTCTAAAACACACAAACTTTCTAAAACAAACTTTCTAAAACACACAAACACCATTTGGACAATAATGCATACTGGTCATGTGATTCAAAATGAAATGACAGCATGAGCTTTTCATGATGATTTGACCGCTGGATGCTTATATCAGTAGATCTGCATGTCACATTGTTTAGCCATTAAACTCTTCTCCGGGCTCAAAATTCTGCTCCATAGTGGTGGTGATGCTGTGAATGCTGACATGGTTTCGTGAATTTTGGAGCCTTTGTTTCTGCACACTGTGCTGAACACCATAACAGAAGTAGATGATTAAACCTGTTTGAAGAAATATGACATCTCCTATGATCATGTTTGTTATTTTGATGCCTGTGCACACTTCACTTTAATGAAAATGTATGTATTATACGGACGGTAATTCACTTACCTACTGCCATCCACCCTGCGTAGCGGATCCAAGTGTCCGATCCAAGTTGAACCATAAGATAAACGTTGACAAACGTGCTGAAAACAGGAAGCAATGGCACGAAAGGAACCTGTACATATGAAAGAGCAGAAGCATTATGACACTAAAATCAAATGCAAAAATGCTCAACTTCTTTTTTTTCCTTTCTAAATTTCCTGTTGGGACTAATTTACTACATTTGGGAATCAACATTTATAATTTCAGTAAATTTCAAAGTATATAATTGAATGCGCACTTTTAGATATATGAGGCCTACCATGAACGCAGCTTTGGTTGTGTTCTGTGGTTGTCTCCAGATGATCAAAGTGCTAAAGACCAGGCTCAGCATGATGATAGAGACACAGAGTAAACTCCACCACTCGAGGGCCTGCAGGGAGTCCGCAGACTGAGATATGACGAGGCTCCCCACGACAGCTGAAAAGACTAAAGAGAACAATGTCGGTCCCTAGGATTGTTATACAACAATATAAACCATGTATTTGCTGTATAATATTGAACGATGGTGTTAAAATCTCTTACTAATAGAAACAGATAAAAGAGACACATTCTTCGATGTCCTCGGCGTGACTTGTAAGGGAGGAAATATGACTCCAGTAATCGAAAAGGGTTCTAGTTTGCTTAAGCTTGACTCCTCACCGAGGTCTGCTTGGTACCTGTGCAAGTGAAGAAATATGGATAAGTGCACCCACGCATAATTCATTTATACATATTGATAAAGGTATGATTTAAATGAGGAATGAGTGTCTTTTATTCCTGTATCGTTGCTTTTCCTGGTTCACATCAATTAATTGAATCCCTCTACAATACAAATCAATGACATCTTATTTAACAACCATTTTCCTTTTAGTTGTGAGAGCCGCAGGGCCTCTGCTACCATTTGTTACGTTCCGGCACTGATATCATAGCACAGCGAAGGTATAGTTAAATGGAAGAATGCATCATTGAGGAAGAACCAAATTGAAAAATTAGCCCTTAACCATTTTCTACTGACGACACCACCATCGTAAACAAATATTGTGACTACTAGGATTAGAGTAATAACCAAACATATGTTCATTACTGTAAATAATACCTTAATATGAGGATACATATGGCAACAAGCGTGTAGGCAAAAAGGGTCCCAATTGACATCATGTCAACTAGCGCCTTCAGGTCAAACAGCAATGCCATGATAGCTGAAAAGACACAAATCATAACAATAAGTCACATGAACATGAATAATTTCCCCTCGAGCTCTTTAGCCTCTTATGAGATATTTCCCCCAAATGAATAAATGTACATCCTTTATGATAATTGGAGTCTACATAAACCAGTTAACTACTGGGGTCAAAGTAATCTTTCAAAAACAAACAAAGACGACAGAAAAGCTTTCAAATTGTTATGATCCTTGATGGCAATTTTACCTGCTACAACCCCTGAAGCGATGGTCGCTATAACGGGACTTTGCCTCTCACTCATTTTACTGAGAGGTCTGAAGAGAAGTCCATCCCTGGACATGGCAAAGAGGACACGGGGCATCGGAAACATTGATCCCAGTAGGCTGTGGGGAAAAAATGACCTGTGTTATTCTCTGCTTTTGTTTTAATGAGCTGCAACCGTTTATCTGACCTCTGACAGCTGAGGCGAAAGGTTCGACTTTCATTTGCAGAGTTGAACTGCGTTTCATACCTTGTTGACAGTGCACAAAGGGATCCCACAGCCACTACATACTTTGCAGGTCCCCAACCGATGTATGTGAAGGCCACGGGCAAGGGGCTGTGAACACTAAGCAAATAGTACGGCATCAGAAGAGTCAGGGCTGCAGACACGCCGAAGTAAGCAAGGAAGCAGATGAGCAGGGACGCCACGATGCCGAGAGGGATCGACTTCTGAGGGTTTTGAACCTCCTCTCCTGAAGAAAATAACACATAATTACTGGATGGCAACTTTTTGTTCTAACTCGCGAGGGCTCCACATTTGCTTACCGGTTGCTCACGGTTTTGCATGAGCGTAGCCGGCCAATCAGGACGCGCCTACCCGAATACATACGGACCGCAGAGTATAAAGCGTAGCATTGTCTGCCATGCTTTTACCCTTCAGTGCCCACAGACTTCTCATATGCACGGCAAGAGTCATTGCCAGGACGGATGTGTCGTCCACGTGCCCATGTGCCTATCAAGCGCTGCCCAAGATTCGATGCCAGCGGCAGTGGGATTATTTCTATTGGTTCAATGGGATTTATTCCCTGTAATCCCTGCAGGGACATTGGCTTTGTCTGCAGAATAATTATGACATTGGGCTACAACCAAATGTTCCAGTCTATTTCTTGTTGCAGTTATTGTGAATGACATAAACTGACAGGAAGTAAGCATGGACCCAAGCTGTTGCTTTGCAATGCTATTACTCCAAAGGGTCTAATGAGTCCAAAGAGCTTTGGGGTTTGCTTCTGGGGTTTGCGTCCTGATTTGCCAGCTACGCTTATGGAAATTTTACGTGGGCAAATGCTTGCTTGTCGCTGGAGAGGAAGATTACCTATAGATGTCAGTAGAGGACTCGGCCTGTGCGTATAAGACTTATCCTACAATGTCGTCCCTGCATCCCCTCTCAGTGCATCAGTATTAGTGTACCTGTTGTCGCAATGCAGTCAAATCCAACAAATGCATAAAAGCATGTTGCTGCTCCTGCTAATGTTCCCTCGAAGCCAAAAGGAAAAAATCCTCCACCTCCATACTGGCTTGTGGCATTCAGTGATGTGTAGTTTCTGCAAAGAGCAAACATGTTGATGCTTGGTCATGCAAGAATAATTGACCGCCTGAATAATACTGTTACTACTTTACCATAATTAAACACATAAAAGCCGGACGTGACATGTTGGTGTACATAGTACGGGGTGGAAACACTTCTTTTTTATAACATATTTCAAACATAAGAACCTATACTCATATCCATCGAGGAAAGATTCTTCTCCGATGTACCAGTTGTTGATGTCCCCTTTAATGGCTCCAGAGAGAATAACAAACAGCAACACCAAGATGTTAACTGCTGTAAAAACCTTATTTACAATAGCAGACTCTTTAACACCGAATGCAAGAATCCCTGGAAAGGAAACAGACAGAACATATAAGTTGGTCATGAATACAATGGAACCATGTTCAAAAAAAGACACTGAATATGCATTAAGAAATGCATGAATTTCATACAGTTGGTTACAAGTCACAGTGATTTAGATTATGAAACTTGCCTGCCAAGAGAATTATGAGGCCAGCTGCAAAGAAGTCTGGGTAGGGAGCCATTCCAGGTAAGTCCATCGCAGCTCGTTTGCCCAGAGAGTTGGAAATGACGTTCCCAATGAGATCGTCAAAGGTCCCACTCCACGCCCTGGCAACACTTGACGTCCCTTAAAAACAATTTGATTGACATGAGGCTCAGACCCTTTTTCACGATGACTATTAAACACCCTTTGAATGCAGTGAATGTATTCAGTATCTTTACCAATCACATAAGACAGCAGCAGGTTCCAGCCAGTGATGAAAGCCCATATCTCCCCCACAGTCACATAGCTGTAGAGGTACGCAGAGCCAGTCTTGGGAACGCGGGCTCCGAACTCGGCATAGCAAAGTCCCGCAAAGACGGAAGCCACTGCTGCAATCAGGAAGGCGATTATGATACTCGGCCCGGCCACGGTTCTGGCCACTTCTCCCGACAACACGTACACGCCGGCCCCCAGTGTGCTGCCAACCCCCAGGGCCACCAGGTCCAGGGTGGTCAGGCATCGGCGAAAGTTGGACACCTCTCCTTCGGGCTCCAGAGGTTTCCTACGGGACAGACTCTGCAGGAACAGCAGTATCTTTGCACCAGACATCCTATTGATCAGGACATTGTGTTTATTTGATCACCCAGGATGAAAAAACACAAAAAAAAGACAGAAGCATTTCTTTAAATGAGCTTAAAACCAAATAATAACTGAAAAGACATGAATGACTCACTAGCGGTTGTTAAAAAATATGCATTTAGTTTAAATCTATTCAAAACAACAACAATATGGTTGGTAATCTCTCCATCAATATATTTTTTTAATTTGACCATTTACATGATGTGTATTATTCATCTCTTTTCACAAGGATTTAATAACATTTTGTTTCTAAATGACAGACGTTTAGAGCTAAACAAATTGCTAATAGTATCTAACAAACTGAAATCATATATACTAGATTATAAGCTCCGTCTCGGGCATCAGAAAGACATCTTACCTTTTCAGCTGAACATGGCAGTGAGTGTGACCACACACCACTAGTGAGGATAAATCCATTCACTCAGAACTGCTGTTCAACATTTTTGACACATTATGTTACATTTCAGACATACGTGCCATTTCTGAAAAATACGGGATACGAATGATTTGTTCGAGGGCACTTCTGAAATGTCAGACAATAACACGCAAATCTTAAATCTTGGAGGCCGTCAGGCCAGATTTAACTTTAAAAAAAATGTTTAAATACAACACGATAATTATTATTGTTATGATAGCAATAATATTAATAGTAATAATACCAAGATTGACATTAACAGGAACAGGAGTTTTTTTCATATCTAAATTGATATAAAAAGGAACCTGTTTGAGAACTAAATTATGCTGTGACTTTTCTTTTATGAATTAATACAATTTAAAAAATACACAAAGAAAATGAACAAACGTTGTTCAGTGATTTATAATTAATTTCAACTAAAAGTAAAGTGATATATCTCATATAACTTTTATTTTACTTAAAGGGTAAAAAGAACAATGCTGTTTTAACAAAGCTGATTGTGTGCCATCACTGTAATGATTTCTGCTGTGAAGACACTTTTCCTTTTAGCTCAATGTTTCAGTTAATTGCACCTTCTAATTCAAGAGATTGAAACTTGTTCAGTCCACAAGTCCTCAGTCCTCTTTCACCTTGTCCAACTGCTTCTTATGGACTAAACAGCTGCCTTTATTTTACCTAGAGACTTAAATCATCGTCTTTATGCAATAATTGGTTTCAGTTTGAATCATCATCAAATCCTTCACACCAAAATTGTGTTATTTCTGAATCTGCTGTTGTTCAAACACCTCTTATACGTTGTAGTCCAACTGTGCTTTTCTTAAAACTCTACCACTCATGGGGAGGTGACTGACTTTCTTCAAGCTGTGCCGATGAGTCGAACAATTAAGAAACTATGGGAAACGTTAGAGTGCAGACTTTTTTTCCCCCCATGAGCCCGATGTCTCTGGGACACACGGCTTTGGTCCGTGCCAAAGATAAATCAACACGTTGTAAAGTGAAACCGTTTAAACAGGAGACATCTGGTCAGCAGCAAATTGAAGACCCGTTCATCAGAGCAGAAGGAGGATGCTAATTGTTTGAGGAACATAATGGTGCGATCCACTGCTTCCAGGGGTTCCTGGTATCATGCTTTTATAGATAACTAAAAATGATGACTGAGTCTCAAACCCATGAAATCTGAAGAGTTAGTGCCCAGAGGGCTGAAAACGTATTAGTTATTCATTGGTAAAAACAGAAATACAAACGTCTCTCATTCAATTTAGACTTCATTTTAGATGTCTTTCATTAAAATATACCTATATTAAATGTTTGTTGGAAAAATAGATTATTTTATTTTTGGTAATACAGACACAAACATCCAGTCAGGCCTACAAAACTTAGAATACATGTTTGTGAAGGCCGCAGACACTCTCCCTTTCCCTATTCTGAGAAAGAACCCATTACTGTTCTCCTGTAATTCGGTGGTCATAGTCGATCATTCCTGAATCTCTCCCCCTTTTGGTTGCGATGACTTTAGTTTAGGCGGAGGGAACAGAGTGGACTTCATTAGCTGAAGGAAATGGACCACCCTCTCCCTGTTAATGATTGATCAGCAGAAAGAGGTTCAGATGGTCACACTATTGTTCACTGAATTCATTCACCACCAAGGATATTTTAGGAAAAAGACCTTGAGTTCTGTGTATCCCTGCTGATTAACTTTTTCATCTCAGCCACACACTCTTGAGGTCATATGGTGAGTTTAATTCTCTATTATTTGACATGTTAGATGATTTGATGTTTTTTTTATTTAAAAATGACAAAGCACTAAAGAAAAATATACAATTCAGCCATAGTCGCTTTACTTTTTGATTACGGTTTGATTAAGAACGACTGTTTTTTAAACACATCTTTTTTTACATTCACTCACTATGCCAACTTAGTTTTAAAAACACATATGCATCTTTTAATTATCAATTTGTAAGACGTTGAAAACTTAATTTGACACGGGATGAAGTTATATTGTTTCAATTTGAAAAAAAGAATATAATAAAAGTCATACGTCCAAAATAATGGCTTTCAGAAAATGAAATAGATTTCATACGACTCTCAATAATGCATAAAATGGCCAATTTACGAGTGGCTCTTACAGCCGTTAGTCACTTCATTATCACAGCTCTGCCCCAGCATTTTTCCAGCAGTATTAGCCAGATGCAGCAGGCTTCTCTCCATGGTGACTGGCCTCCCAGGCCACCGCGTGAGACCGAGCACTTTATAGAAGAGGGGTCACTAGAGTGTGACCTCACTCATGTATGTCCACAATCTATTGCAGTTCAGATGGATATTTCAAGCATTGTGACTCAACGGTAAAATGTTAATGCTGAAAATCAATCTCATCTTGGAAACAATACCACAGAGTTCTTAAAAAAAACATTTCCGAGCTCTTGTGTAAGTGCGTAGTCCCTGCTGGAGATTAATAGCCTCAGGTCACGTTGACTTCTAACACCACTTTCTTAACTTTCTCCAAGCTCCGTTTAGAGTTTATTGGGTGGCGTCAACATAAATAAATTATCAAGAAAGTTAGAAGCGTCTAAAACAAAAAGGAAGTTACCTTTTCTACGTGTTTTTTACTTTTATAGAAATATATTGAAAATAGGATTGTGGTCCATTTTACTAAATTGTTTTATTTGTTTTTCCCTTTTCTCCACAGTCGGACAATCTCATCCCAGCGAACATGAATAACACAAAACAGCGCAGCGGGCAGATTGATGGGAGAAGATAAAACTGAGGACACCTTCACTCTGGGGAGCTCTAGAGAATAATCCTACGCACCAGGAAGAAAAGAAAAATGAGACTGGTTCTGTTTTACCTGATGGTGTTGGGCTGCAGGTATGTTATTTCTACCTACGGGCCCCATCAGAGAGCACAGATGACCGGTGACATTTTGCTCGGGGGTCTTTTCCCCATACACTTCGGAGTGGCGTCGAAAGACCAAGACCTGGCGGCTCGGCCCGAGTCCACACAGTGTGTCAGGTGACATTTTGAGACCCGTTCACATGATTCGAGCGAGTGACCGCGCTCCACTTTTCTAAACGCATTCCTTTTTCTGCCCTTACAGGTTCAATTTCCGTGGTTTCCGTTGGCTGCAGGCCATGATTTTTGCGATTGACGAGATTAACAACAGCAGCACTCTACTGCCCAACATCACCCTCGGCTACAGGATCTTTGACACTTGCAACACGGTGTCAAAAGCCCTGGAAGCGACGCTTAGTTTTGTGGCCCAAAATAAAATTGACTCCCTGAATTTAGATGAATTTTGCAACTGCACTGATCACATCCCGGCAACCATTGCAGTAGTCGGAGCGGCTGGATCCGCAGTCTCCACAGCTGTCGCAAACCTACTGGGACTTTTCTATATTCCTCAGGTGAGTATCTGATCATTGGCTTTATCGGTGCCATATCAATGGTGCTCCTCAGCCGTGGCCTTAAAACTGAGTATCACAAGGCAACACTGTATCCTGAACATACTGAGAACATACAGTTTACTTGCAGGGGATTATACTTTTCTTGGTTGGGTGATCCATTGATAGATGGTAATGAAGCAGAAATCTATATGACTTGAACTCTTTACCGTTTCAGATCAGCTATGCCTCTTCCAGTCGCCTACTGAGCAACAAGAATCAGTACAAGTCCTTCATGAGAACCATTCCTACTGATGAGTACCAGGCCACAGCCATGGCGGACATCATTGAGTACTTTGAGTGGAACTGGGTCATTGCTGTGGCCTCGGATGACGACTACGGACGCCCGGGGATCGAAAAGTTTGAGAAGGAGATGGAGGAGCGAGACATATGCATTCACCTGAACGAACTCATCTCTCAATATTTTGAGAGTCAGGAAATCCAAGCGCTGGCCGACAGGATTGAGAACTCCACAGCCAAGGTCATCGTTGTGTTTGCCAGCGGCCCAGATGTCGAGCCTCTAATCAAAGAGATGGTCAGGCGGAACATCACCGATCGCATCTGGTTAGCGAGTGAGGCGTGGGCCAGCTCCTCACTCATAGCTAAACCAGAATATCTCGACGTTGTAGCGGGGACTATTGGCTTTGCCCTCAAGGCAGGGCGGATACCTGGCTTAAGAGAGTTCTTACAGAAAGTGCAACCAAAGAGAGACAGTCACAATGAATTTGTCAGGGAGTTTTGGGAAGAAACCTTCAACTGTTATCTGGAAGACAGCCCGAGACGGCAAGAAAGTGAGAACGGAAGCGCGAGTTTTAGGCCCTTGTGTACTGGTGAGGAAGACATCACGAGTGTTGAGACCCCGTACCTGGACTACACACACCTTCGTATCTCCTATAACGTGTATGTTGCAGTTTACTCCATAGCACAGGCCTTGCAGGACATACTGACCTGCACACCTGGACATGGGCTCTTTGCCAATAACTCCTGTGCAGATCTGAAGAAAATGGAAGCATGGCAGGTAAAGTGCTTCACATTGACCAAAAACGGAGGCAATTCATTAACAGAGCATGTACTTTTAGCTAGTTTGAAGCATCTAAATGTGTGATTCTGCCTTGCAGGCCCTGAAGCAGCTGAGGCATTTGAACTACACCAACAGCATGGGGGAAAAGATGCACTTTGATGAGAACGCAGACCTGGCAGCAAACTACACCATTATAAACTGGCACAGGTCTGCTGAGGACGGCTCGGTGGTCTTTGAGGAGGTGGGGTACTACAACATGCACATCAAGAGGGGAGCCAAACTCTTCATGGACAAGACTAAGATATTGTGGAACGGTCACAGTTCTGAGGTCAGTCAGTCTACGGTTTTGTAGAGGATGTGAATTTAAATATATTTGTTTGTTTTCCCCCTCGCTATTTTCTGTATTTTCCTTTTCCTGCCATCATCCACTAAAAATAATAGTGATAATTACATTTACATTGTTACAATTGCTGCAAGGAAAGCTGCGCCAACTGGATTCTTTGTCCACTTGTGGGCAGCAGAACTCACGTTAAACACAACATCTCATGAAATGGTTGTTGCCAACGTGTTAGCAAATCATTTTCTCTCGTGTAATTCGTTAGTAGCTCATCTTGGCTGCCTGAGCTGGAATAATTCGGTGGCTTTAGATGAGCCGCAGACAAGTTCATAAGAGCAGTGAGAGAGACCAAAGAGTAAAGGTGAGGGATGTAAAAAGCAGAACAATGGTTCAAAGATCAGAGATGTTGAAACACTGTGCAGGTTTGGGGAATGAGCGAGTTGATAATCGTTTGTGAGAAACCTTCCTGCTCTCACATTACACATTTGACACTCATTCGACCTGTCGTTCATACAGCTTAAAATTGCTGTTAGGAAAAGTGCACCTGTTTTATCTTTATACTCTTGAAATCATTTGGGTTCTTCTTCTTAATATTATTTTTGTTATCCTCATTTATTTACAAGAACAAAACAACTACAATAAAAATAAAAATATCAATAGATCCAATCATTAATAAGCTCATTAATGAACCAATAGTATATGATTTCCTGGAGGCAGGTGAAGAACACCTTCATGTCATTAAGTGCTTAAATCTTTATATATCATAACATTTCATGTGATGAAAGATTCAGTGCAACATGAATGAACTCCAAAAGGATACTACCAACATTTATTGACAGGCGATTTATTTCTAAACTCTCTGTTCTTTTATTAATTAAAAATGATTGTCAAATACATATTAACACCATTACAACTGTGTGTTCTGCCTTTTCTAATGCAACTGTACACATCCCGTAGGTGCCATTCTCCAATTGCAGTGAGGACTGTGAACCCGGTACGCGAAAGGGGATCATTGACAGTATGCCCACATGCTGCTTTGAATGCACTGAGTGCTCAGATGGAGAATACAGTAATCAAAGAGGTACAGAGACGCCAAACATTCACAATCCCATATCCACTAATCTCACACCTGGTCAGTGTTGCACTAAACTAAACTAAAACACTGATGTTTTTGTGTGTATACAGATGCCAGTGTTTGCACCAAGTGTCCACATAACTCTTGGTCCAATGGGAATCACACATCCTGCTTCCTGAAGGAAATCGAGTTTCTCTCCTGGTCAGAACCCTTCGGGATCGCTTTGGCCATATGTGCAGTTCTGGGAGTGCTCCTGACAGCCTTTGTGATGGGGGTCTTTGTCAAGTTCCGCAACACCCCGATAGTGAAGGCCACGAACCGAGAGCTCTCCTACGTTCTCTTGTTTTCACTGATCTGCTGCTTCTCCAGCTCCCTCGTCTTCATCGGAGAGCCGCAGGACTGGACGTGTCGCTTACGGCAGCCTGCCTTTGGGATCAGTTTTGTTCTCTGTATATCTTGCATCCTGGTAAAAACGAACAGAGTACTTTTGGTGTTTGAAGCCAAGATCCCTACGAGTCTCCATCGCAAGTGGTGGGGATTGAACCTGCAGTTTCTGTTGGTGTTTCTGTGCACATTTGTCCAAGTCATGATATGTGTGGTATGGCTTTACAACGCCCCTCCCTCCAGCTACAAGAATCACGACATTGACGAGATCATTTTTATTACCTGCAATGAGGGATCTGTGATGGCGCTCGGGTTTCTTATTGGCTACACGTGCCTGCTGGCAGCGATATGTTTCTTTTTCGCATTCAAATCCAGGAAGCTTCCGGAAAACTTTACGGAGGCCAAGTTTATCACTTTCAGCATGCTCATATTCTTCATTGTTTGGATCTCTTTTATCCCTGCATACTTTAGCACTTATGGCAAGTTTGTTTCAGCTGTGGAGGTCATCGCTATACTGGCCTCCAGCTTCGGGATGCTGGCCTGTATCTTCTTCAACAAGGTCTACATCATCCTCTTCAAACCCTTCAGGAACACCATCGAGGAAGTCCGGTGCAGCACCGCAGCCCACGCTTTTAAAGTGGCCGCCAAAGCGACGCTGAAACACAATACCGCCGCAAGGAAAAAGTCTGGCAGCATCGGTGGTTCTTCTGCCTCGACTCCGTCCTCATCCATCAGCCTGAAGACCAACAGCAAGGAGTGCGGAGCGACGTCAGGAAAGCATAAGCCAAGGGTGAGCTTTGGCAGTGGAACAGTTACTCTGTCCTTGAGCTTCGAGGAGTCGAGGAGGAGCTCCCTGATGTGATAGCACATGGTTGAAAACATCAGTTTCGTCTAACCCATTAATGGTTTTGGGACTTTATTTTGAAATGCATTGGCATGAAGACCCGCTTCATTTTCCAATTTTCTTGACAGATTGTCTGAAAGACCAGTCCAAGTAATGTACTGTACTTTACCTATATCCTGTGACGTTTATTATTCTCAGCATAACCCTGTTGTACACTAAGCTAATAACAACAATTTTGTACAATTAAACAGGAAATGACATCCTTATGTTGTTTTTTTATTCTTTAAAAACTGTATATATTATTTGGTTTAGTGAACATGTAATCCATCCACCAATCAATCACTACATCTATAACATTACAACATAATACTAAGAGTAAACATATAAGTTAGATCAAACATCTACAGTAAACTGACAGGACAACACTTCATGGTCAGCACAAAGACGTGCCTTGTGTGCCAATATTTGACCAGAGGACAAGCCGGGCTTGCGAAGCGAGACAAGAGGATGTATGAGTCAGAATTACAGGATGTCGACCCAACGTTCCCTAATTTGTAATAACATTCTATTGTGGTAAATCCCACGACAACAAAGGAAACGGATGAAAAGTCTACATGACATAGTGGAATCCATGCCACCCGTTTTAGGGTGTGCTTGGGTAGAACAAAGTGTGATCCAAACGAAACCTATTTGTTTGGTTTAATGAAAGAGGCGTCGCTGCCGTCATGGCCGTCAGACTAAACCACGACATCAAAAGTGTCCCCTTTACGTTTTACACTCGTTCGGTATCTATCATTTGGGAATTATTTGGGATATAATGTTTAACGCTTAAAATTGACAAATGTTGCATTACAGTTCATACAACAGTAACTACTTTGATTACTTTAAAGGAGAACCAATATTGTTGTATACATAACTGAAGTTCTCTCAGAAATGTGAATCTGAATAAAAAACAAAAAACCTAATTAAAACAAAACAATGCACATGCTGATGAAGGGGTCGATTTTGGTGCAGATCTCTCAAAGAACTTTCTCACAAGTCTCTGATAAGTGCAAACAGTACACAAGTCTCTGATAGGTGCAAACAGTACAGGACTATCACATTGAAATGTCATTCTCGCAATAGGACTACACCAGACAGTCGTGACCTCCCAGTTTGGAGAAGGTATAGAGGGGGGAGCGGCTCGGGGAGGCACTGTTTGTTCTGACCACACAGACGCATACATTCATTTCTAGTTTCAAACATGAAGTTTTCTTTCTTATTTATAGTTTTACTTTTACTTATTGTTATAAAAAGATTTGAGTACTTTTTGCCGTAGCAAACTGGGTCCAAAAAGATAAATATTTTCGGTCTGTCCATTCTCACTAAAATCTTCCCTGTGGTCCAGTTAAATGCATGAATGTGACTCATGTACAGCTCAACAACGCCACCCCAGGAATTGCACCCAAGGACATTTTTATCAGGAAAGATCTGTGAACTCATTATTTTTTTAAGTGAACTCAAAAAAGGTGATATAAAAGGGGAAACAATAAAACACAATGAAACAGGCGTTTGAGCAGTGCAGGACTTCCCACATCGCTCAACAGGAAGATGACATGCTGAGACATCCAGTGTCATAGCTGACTTGAGGAGCAGCTGGACAACCAACAACATTCTGTTGTTTAGAAGGACAAGACCTTTATCCTCAAAGCTAATGCAGCCCAGAGAGACCAGCTGTTGTCTATGTTTGAACTGCAGAATGGGTAATGCATGATGGGATTGTTTGTCACAGTCCTAGTCCTAGGTACAAGAGGATTTTGTGTAATTTATACATATGATTTACAAATGTTTGAAGTCTGATCAGAAAATGTGTGGCCTTATTTGTGCTACAAATAGTAATTTTAAAATAAAATGGCAATGCAATTCCATAGGAAAAGTACCATAAGTATTTATAAATATATATATAAATATATATAGATATATATATATGTATATATATGAAGCTCAAAGCTACTTTGCAACTGAATATCAATTTAATGCGATGAAAAATAGCAACTATCTCCAGGCGTGACGAGCTTTGTTTTGAAAACCACTTAAGGGAAGCGTCTGTTCAAAACAAGCACGCATCAAGCAACCGATGTGACAGCAACTACTTCCGGTTTCCGGACGCCACCTTCAAAACTCCGTATGTGAAAATCGCAGTTTCAGAATACGGTGCACAGTTTTGAAAATGTTACCCTTAATTTTTTCAATCGTAGCTGTCAGCTTTTACTGATTTGTAACGTCAAATGTAACTTATGTTCTCACGGTTTCGGCGTAAAAGCTTTTAATGTGAAATACATCCAGCGGAAGTACCGCTAACCTACAATGACTTTACACAACGTTCGCTCCCGGAATGTTGACACGGAATAACGTAAGTGTGTGCGTAAAGGTAAGCTGAGATGCGCCCAGCGAACCAGTTATACTGGCATCTCCGTTGTATTTGCCGTATCTAGAGACTCTGCGCGGGGAGCGACCGACCGTTAGCTCGAAGGCGACCGTTAACTTTTACAGCTCCTCCCGGGAAAAACCGCTTCTGTCAGCTAGCAACCAAGCTAACGCTAACGGTGCTGAGAGAGCTCACCTGGACATCGCTGCGGCCAGGTCGCGGAATAAATTAAAAGAGGTTTATTTTCTATTTGTTTTACTTTAGAAAACTCAAGGAGTGTAACGTTGATGAGGAGAAGACGCAGCTGTTGCAGATGTGAAAGGTAGCGTCCTGCTTTGGGTCTCTAACGTAACTCAACGTTATATGAATTCGCACTTTTAGCATCATTACTAATTAACCAGTCAGTTATTGCATCGATGAAATCTGGACCTTGAGTCTGAAATAAAGGTTTGTTTTATTTATTGTACTACATCGAGTGAGACTTCAATGTCCGGGGAAACAGCGATCGACAGGTGTACAGGTGTGTAGTGACTGGGTCTCAAATGACCTTTCAGAATACCTTTTCTGTGGTGACCAACATAATAAATGCCTCTGAATACAAACGTAACGTACACACCTTTACTTTTAGTTTTCTAAGTTAACATCTTAGGTGTTAATTGTTGTTGCGTGATATTTCTATTTAAAACCAGCCTTGTCTGCTTGACTTTTTAGATGATAATATATTGTAGTAAGAGTAACATTATGATCCACATCCATTGCAGTCATTTAATTTCTCTCACCCTCAATCAACAGTCTCTGAAGAACGGAAGTCCTCTCCCTCCCCTCCTGAAACTGGATTTTGACCGTCCGACAATGGATTTTCCCCAATAACCTTCCCTTAGTTCACAGTGATCATATATTTGACTGACTGTTTACTTCGGCGTTGTGTTTCCCTGTCATGGGATGACCGGTTAGTGCAACGATGGCTGTCAGTGTTCATGCTTAAGTGACCGTCGCGGTGGGAGCATCCTAAACTAGAAGACACCAGCTTCTGCAGTTGCCCCTTTTACCGCTTCACACCAGCGCCGTCACACAGAAATGGGCTTCTACTTACCTGTGACAAAGACTTTGCGGAGGTGGAAATATTTTCTGGTGCTCTTTGTCTCGCTGTCGGTGCTGGCATGGATCGCAACCTTTTCAGGCGAAACCGTGAAATCCGGGCCGGCGTTGCCCGCCTCACCGCAGACTCTTGTCCAAGCCGACGTTGTGAAGGACAGACTTGACACGCCGCCGCCGGATCGATTAACAACTCCACCGCAAAAAGTCGAATGTCCTCAGGAGTCACCGTTGCTACGTAAGCATCATTTTTGATTGCGCTTATTTGTTTCAATTTATCTACTTATGCTGCCCTCTTAAAAAATAAAGATGATGATTTAGTTTCTTTAAGTTCTCCACCTTTTTCAAAGTGATCACATGACATGATAACTCACTATAATAAACTAGACAATGATTATGCTGCGATGTCACTTTGAACATAAATATAGCAGAGTTTGTAGTTGCTCCAAAAAAAAATGGATGACTTTAGATTTCATCGTTAACTCGACCTGTTCAGTGCAAGTTCAAATAGGGAGCTACATTACTGCGCTATGATTCACCTTTACCCGTGTAATCAAGATCTCTGGTTGAATTGGCCTCCTTCCACAGAGGGAGCTGTGAAGCTGTCCTTTGAATCCTCTCTGACACTGAAGGACGTGGAGGGTAGAAACAAAGGAGTGAGTGAAGGCGAGTACGAGCCCTCCGACTGCACGGCGAGGCAGAGCGTGGCGGTCCTCATCCCTCATCGCAGCAGAGAGAGACACCTCCTCTACCTCTTGAACCACCTGCACCCCTTTCTGCAGAGGCAGCAGCTGCACTACGCCATTTATGTCATCCAGCAGGTAGCAAACGGCTCCACCTCAGGCAGTCTTCTGCCACATAGTTTTAACACCCATTTGTGTTTTGGTTTCATGTTTATAGAAGGGAAAGTAATGATTTATGATATTGGGGAACTAGTGTGAGGTTGTAAGTTGTAAAAACATTATATCTGGCAAAGACCACAGGCATCTTTGGACTGTACAACAGCAGCTAGTAACGTTTGATTGTGTCTTCTATTGTTTCAAAGGCTGGCGATGCAACTTTTAACCGTGCCAAGCTACTCAACGTTGGGTATTTGGAGGCCCTGAAGGACTACAGTTGGGACTGTTTCATCTTCCATGATGTCGACCTGGTCCCCGAAAATGATCATAATGTATACGTCTGCGACAAGCAGCCCAAACATCTGGTGGTCGGCAGGAACGCCACAGGATACAAGTGAGTACATGATTATGAGTCATTTTTACAGCAAGCCATATGTCAGCAGTCAAATGTTTCCATACCCATGTGAACGACAGTGATTTAATACTGTAATTAGTCTTTATGTCCTTCCTCTGTCAGGCTGCGCTACAAAGGCTACTTTGGAGGGGTCACAGCTATGACCAGAGACCAGTTTCATCAAGTGAATGGATTCTCTAACACTTACTGGGGTTGGGGCGGAGAAGACGATGACCTGCGCATCAGGTGAGGCCAGAAAAAAAAAAGAAAAAGTTTAAAACAGGCCAAACCTTTCCTGTGATCACATCCGGAGCAGATGCAGTACTTTCCCTCAGTAATGTGTCTGGTGTCCCGCGCAGGGTCGAGCTGCAGAAAATGACGATTGTGCGCCCGCCCGCCGACATCGCTCGCTACACTATGGTGTTTCACAAACGGGACAGTGGCAACGAAATAAACAAAGACAGGTCAGTAGAGGTAGAGATGGGGATAATGATCCTGGTTTGGGCTGCAAATAGATCCTCTGCATCACTCTTTTTTTTTTTGCTTCCTAGGATGAGGTTGTTAGGACGAACACCCCTGGTATGGAAAAAGGACGGACTGAACAGCTGCTCCTATGAGACTGTGTTGCTGGAGCGGCAGCCTCTTTATGTGAATGTCACTGTGGACATCGGTAAGCCACAGAACTGACATTAAAACGAGGACCAAAGAAACACTTTATAATACACGTCTTTCTGGACCGAGCAACGTTACTGACTACGCTGATTTGGTAACAGTATTCTTGGACTGCTCTCTTCACGTGAACTTTATTCTAACTCTCCCCCTGTTGATGAGCTGAAGGACTGTTTGTAAGTCTACAGAAAGCTGCAGCCATCAGACAGATCGGGTCAGAGTGACTAGATTTAAGTTTTCTAGGTTGTTGGTGGTCGGTCGGTTCATTTCATGTTAACATTCCATTTATGATTGTTTTACTGTTGAAAACTTTACATGTGAAAGTATTGATACGCTACAACTTGTCAATCAGATTTTTTAGGTAATCTTGTAGCAGCAAACATTTCACATTTCACAGCAGAGATTTTTTTATTTTAATTTATTCGTAATAAAAATGAATGTATAAAATGCAAAGAGATGACATACTAATTCTGGATGATATTTCAGATTTGTTTTGAATCTTTGCAGTGGTATGGGATGATTTGTCTGCTTGATCGTAGAACCCAGATCATCACATCTAATGTGATTTATTTTTTTAGAACACATATAATTGTATTATAAATTGTATTCTGGTGTCTATAAATGCAGGGCTAGAATCTGCAGTTGTTGCGCTGCAATTGTAGTTTATTTATAAGATATGCATTTGAATATATAACTGTATATATTTCGGACTAGATGGTTTTAGGATTAAACAATCTCCCTCTAAAAAGCCTCTCCTTGGTTTTTGGAATACTGTATTTATTGTATTACCAACGTTTTATGGAATAATGATTGTTGTAGTAGTTTGCATCTGACACAAAGATGCTCAACCTGCAGTACATTGGTCTGACCAGCAGGGGCCTCTTTTCCCAACCACTGGAAAAACCTCCAGGCAGGTCTGTGCTCCTTGTTAAGTAGAGAGTGCTTTTATTGCCTAGCAATTTGTACAGCAGTACCCTTAATTCATCACCGGGACAAAATAACAACCTATTTAACTTGTTTGGTTGAAATGTCAGAGGACATAAGGCGATCTTTTTTTTCCATTTTTTTAATTTATAAGAGGCAAATCAGACGTGTGTCATGTTGTTTGCCTTTATGAATGTTGTTTGCTCTTAGTATGCATAATAATAACTGTCTGCTGTTCAGATACAATGCACTCTCCACAACAGAGCAGGTTTGTGCAGTGCAAAGAAAGAACGGGGTGACGCTTTGTATGCGGAGAATGATGTCATGTCCTCTTCCTATAGTGCAGAAAGAGAGCTTTGTCTTGTCGAGGCCGAGCCTGGTCATCTAGGTCACATGTGACATTCACAAAACACTTCTCGAACACAAAATAAGTCCGGGCACTACAAACTAGTCCATTCAGATGTGTTTAAATGCCAGTGGTTTCTGCAACGTGTACTGTATTCTTCCTGTTTGTAAATATAGTAACATTTGTACCGGGTTAGAACGTTTAAGTGGGATTTTCATTTTTTCGTAAAAGCAATGCATCGTTAGAATAGAAACGTCTTGGTTTAGTTCGTCCTTCCTCATAAGATTGTTTTTGGATGAAAAAGTATGCTATTTACAATGTTTAGATTGGTGCTCTACTTCACTTTGAAAGTTCAATAGTCCTGCAGAGAACATGCTTCACAGCTTGTGGTCTGTTCGCGCATTGTTTTGGTTTTCATGCCTCCATTTTTACCAATACGATCATCTGAACCCACTTTAAACGACCTGACCGGCATCAAACATCAGACGGATTATTTTTGGTGACGTAGTCAAGCATTTAGCAGCTAAAGAGACGGATAGTAGATTATGATTTCAAATAAAGTTACTTGCGTCCAAACGAGCAGCCGTGGCAAAGAAGCTCTGTACACTTAGAAGGTGATAATTGTTGTTGTTGCTTCCAAGATTGTTCCCACTTGCTCCACGCTGCAGTATGCTAAGCTTACATACACTTTAAGGAAGAAAAACAACTTGTAAACCATAATTGCTACGCGGCGATGAAGCTAGTAAGACTGGACTGTGTTTCCGCCAACAAACCAAACCAATGTCTCCCAACATAGAGCTTTTCGGCCTTCAGTTCTTGTGTCAAATCTTTAATTTGATAGAATGTCTGCAGCACAGCGAATCACTGGTTTGACATATAGATATTCTGCAATTAGTGAATATAAATAAAGTTGGAATTTGGGTTGGCATCTCTTATTTTTCCGCGGGAAGCTGTCAAATATTAGGAATACGTCAACGCTCAATATGTCAGCCAGCTTTTTTAAGACCCTTCGAAGATTATTTTGGGGACGACATGAATTCACCTTCAGCGAAGACCGGACGCGCTAAAGACCAGCACATGACGCGCAGGTCTGATTTGAAGCATTACATGCATAGCGTTCAGTAACGAGAACCATGTGTGTCCTGCGTCTCCTCACCCCCCCCCCATTTCCCATCTGTGCCCTTCAGGCCCTCGCTCCAGTCGCCTCCCACTTCCCTCTTCCTTCAGAAGCCGTCTGTTTTTGTTTTCCAGCCCGGGCTCTTTGCACAGGAAATTGTATACATTGGGAGCATTCAGGAAGGCAGAGAGCAGCTTTCCCGTTTGAGTTCCAAGTTTGGTCACATAAAAAAATGGGGTAAAGGAGAGAAACAGAAGTCAGCTGTTCTCCTCCCCTCACTTGGATTCCCTCCTCTTTACACAGTCTCAACATTTCAACGATCCCTGCCACGAGTCCATCTCTAAATATAGTTTATTCTAAACATCTCAGAGTGCAAATCTCACTCAAAGTTTTTTAAAAAAAAGCCAACGTTCCCGAGGTGATTTGCTTCTCTGTTCATATTCCTCCTCGGCTACAGAGGAGCCAGTGAAAAGGGGAGAGAGTGGAATGAAGGAAAAGAGGAGGAGATATAAAAGGAGCAGAGAGAGAGAGAGAGAGAGAGAGAGAGAGAGGCTGGCTGGGGGGGTAAAAGAAAAACAACAGGAAACCGAGCGATTCTAATGCCGTTTCTGCAAATCCTTTCCGAGATAAAGCAACGGGCCGCCACGTCCCGGCCGAGCGAGTTTTCATTGATCACCCCTGGCGAGTTATGACAATCTAACGGATTTATACTCGAAAATGTGACGTCACTTCTGCTCTCAGCCTCCCAACAGTGTGGTTCATCAGAATGTGAGCGGATGCAGTTTTCTCGGAGCCGTTGGCTGGGATTTCATTGTGGCTGCTTTTCTGACCCGCAAAGTGAACCTTCTGCCGGGGTCCTATGGATCGATCGCCGTGCTTCCAAGGCTCTGTTTGTTTTAATCGTCGGGACCACTAACTGGAGCCACATGAAGAATAAAGGGACTAAACAGAAGTCCAAGAAGAAAGGAAGTGAAAATGTGTTCGGCTGTGACCTGATAGAACATCTGCAGAGCTCAGGACAAGATGGTAAACTCTTCCTTTTTGCTTTATTTAACTTACTTTACAAACTACACGCAACTCATTTGGTTTATTACTTGATACATGTGTACAGAATACTGTTTGTACTTAAAATCAAGGTGTATTAGTGGTTTTCTGGATTATTGTAGCTGTAATTACCTTTTGCACATGGATCATGTGAATGCAGTAGGACAGGTAACACAGAAAATTATATTAATGTAACAAATAAAGGCTTTATTCAAAGATAACCTATATGAAAAGTAGGTCTACGTGTGTTCTGCGCTTACCGTAGCGAGGCCATTCATTCACACATTGGCTGTGTTAAATGGTCATTTGTGACTTTGGGTGTGGCTCTTACATTTTTTCGTGTCAATGTGATTATAGTTCTTATGTCTGGTTTTGTGTCTTGACAAAAGACTGGGCGGTGCTGCCGCCTATGGATGAGAGAAAACCGTTATTTACGCTAAAAACGGGAGAGCGATGTGGTTCGGGGGGTTGTTTGGGGGAATATGTCATTTCATCTGTTTTCTGTCTCCTGATCATATGTTCCTTTTCTATAACCGTCATCTGTTATTCCTTCGGCGAGGAGAACCGCGACACGTACAAAAAAGAAGAAAAAAAAAAAAGAGAAATCTCCCACGTGCACAGGCACATGAATAGCTGTGTGGAAGATAACTTACAGGAAGACCTGTGAGAGTGGAAGCTCTGAGCCGCTGCATTCAGGGCAGGAAGCGAGGGAGGAGGTTTGTGCCCGTCGAGGATGTCCAGCAGACACATTGTGCTTTCAGATTGGTCGGTGCGTTGGTTTGTCACCGCTTTTGAATGTCACCGCGAGCGCCGGACAAACAAGACACAGGGGAGACGATGAGGTCAGAGGTGGTGACCATTTAATTAAAACGTTTTTATGGTGAGATAAGAAAAGTTATGTTAAAGCGTGCTTGAAAAGTGGAATGGATCAAAACGATTGTACTTTTTTGTTTTTATATCCCACTCGCGGTAATGAGTCTTTGACAGGGAGAGAATACTTTTGACCGTTAATGTGTTAACGTGATTCAATATTGGAATCTCTCAAGTAAAAATGAGCAATACAAAAAAAAATTCTCACACTTTCTGTTTCACACAGAAAAAATATGATAATGTTGAATTGTTACCTTTGTAGGACTGCAATATTTTCAGACTTTACATACTTCAAGTGAGCAGGTTCTGTTAATCTGGCCCTGCACCTTTTTTGAAGTTTCAACATTTAAAGGAACATTTCACATCATTGTGTGAACGAACAGGTTGCACCGGCGGACTTTCTGTCGGGATCGAGTCTGATTGCAACTTTCAATATGACTTTTAAAAAAATGAATGTAGCATCAAGTTCCTTTTAAAAATCTGTCCGGTGCTTTCGTTGTCTGTCAACAAGAAGCAGAGATCTTCCGTCAGTGCAGAGAGAGGCGCTAAATGAAGGCTGTTTGACCACAGGCATGTTGATGAAGGTCCAACTAAGTCAAATCGATTGTAAATGACAGATTTCTGAAAATGAACCCTTCCTGTCACTTTTCATTCATTTTGTGGAGAATGGATTTTTTCAAGAAAAAGAGACATGGAAATAACAGTGTAGTTAAAATAGAAAAGTAACCAAAAGAATGACTAATTACAAGGATACAATGGAATAAAATAGTGTTCATTAAAAAGGTTTAGAAATGTGACGGAGCACGTGGAACTAAAACTCTCAAAAGACTCTTTCTGTTTTATTTTACAACATTCTTTTTGTGATCATCATTGAAGTCATTCCACATAAAATGTTTTTCTTTAAATCTGCACAAACTCATCATTCATCACTTAATACTACTTGAAAATGTGCAGGTCCACGTCAGACTTTGAAAATGAAATTAAAAGCAAAAAGCAAAACCAATTTGAAAGTTCTTTGTATCTGAGAAGAGTTGCACTTAATGAACATTATTATGGATGATCAATATCGGTTTCTTCTTCATTTCTACTGACCGCTCCTTCAACCACGTAATATGTACATTACTAATGCAATAAAATGAACTATTTCCATATATATGCTGATTTTGCATTAAATTGCTACCTTACGTATAAGCTAACGGTGGCTTGAGGTCAGAATTTAGCTGTAAAGCTAAACTTACGATTTTTCTTTTTTAAACTGCGAGTAAACACACTTATGTACAGAAGGTGATGTACTGTAGTTCAGAAGTCTGTGAAGGTCACTGGTAAGATTTCAAAAGCGATTTTCTATTAGAGGAAGTGTTGTAAGTAATACGAGCTACAAGGACTGGGTGTGTCAACCTTCCTCTGAAACAAACAAACCATTTTTAACTTCCTGTCAAAGTCCACCTACAATCAGCGGCCCTAAGGAATAGAAAAGAGACCTAGTGGAACAAACCCCGATATACCATGAAGTCCAACCTCGAGTCCAGGCCTCGTTGCTGTCCGACCTTTAGATTCACGGTTCCGTCTCCCGCCTTTTTGAGATTTGTGTGTGACCCTCGAGCCCGGTGTGTGACTAAAAGTACGTGACTGACGCGATTTCTTAAATCCAGTTCCTCAGGTTCTGAAGAAATGTGCAGAGTTTATTGAGGAGCATGGGATCGTGGACGGCATCTACAGACTCTCGGGGGTCACCTCAAACATCCAGCGTCTCAGGTACTCGTGCAACAAAACATATCAGACATTAGGTGATAAGAATTCTGATTTCATTTTAAAGCATCGGCGTTTTAACATTACATCATAATTACCTGGTTAATGAGAAAATGCTCAATCAAATAGTCAAGCTAATTTTTTTTCATTTACGGGTGCCGAATAAATTCCTAATTTTCTTTGATTTACGTGATCATGTTTTGTCAGATTAATATTGAGGGCGTTTCTTTTTTTTTGGCCACAGCGGCGTTGGCCAAGTGAATAGACTTCTATTATTATTATGTTATCTATTATGCCACATACTGGAACAGTTAGCAGGGGTAGTAACAATCAAAGCATTCAGCTAACCCTCTTCGTTTGTGTGTGTGTGTGTGTGTGTGTGCAGGCAGGAATTCTGCTCCGAGGCGTGCCCTGACCTTACAAAGGAAGTGTACCTCCAGGACATCCACTGTGTGGGTTCCTTATGTAAGCTGTTCTTCAGGGAGCTGCCCGTTCCTCTGCTCACCTACGAGCTGTACAGCAAATTCACCGTGAGTGCACGCGACGTCTACACTTTTGGGAAGTGAGAAAAGTTCAAAAGCCTGCGTGGCTTAGGCGTGGTTTCACGGCAGATTCGTGCTTTATAAACAGTAATTAGTGGCAGATATTTGTGGCAGCATCATGAAGACCTTATTTATTACAGCGTTTCATGAATGTGGCCGTATCTCTCTGGCTCAGAGCTGTTTTTATCTCTTCCCTGGAGAATACAGTGTCCATAGCAGATGTGGAGTTAGCTGAATGCAAAGGACAGACTGTATTAAGTCATCAAACTAAAGAATGATTTAATATCATTATTCATCTTTGTTATTGCATACACTGCATGAAGAAACTCATTGTGCAAGACGGACTTTGTCTAATTCTTTTATCTTTTGGGGTGTGTTTTCTTGGGCTACACGCTTGCCAAACTGTTCTGGCAAGTGACAATGTATAAATATCGCACTATTCAAAGATTACAACGTTTTTGTTGCTGTCCCTTCGCGATCATGAGGGAGGGGGGGTCAAGGTTTGTAAGGAAGCGAGTGCAAAAACATTCCAATTTAAATTTCCAAAATGAACTAGTTAACCTGTGCAGACACACTCTCCACATTGAGCACTTTTTCTGGATAACCTGCAGATGATAGTTTAGAGAGGAGAAGGAAAGTGTAATACTTCAGTGCTTCACGCTCTCTGTGAAGCTCTCTGTGTACCCTGACGGGCCATTAGCATACCTTGGCATTAATACATCTGCTGCTGCTGGGGCCGGAAAAAACGTCAGTCCTGCAGTTTATTAGGAGAATCCGTTCCTCACACGGCAAGATATGATGGAAAAAAAACACTTTTCTAGCCAAACGAACCGTTAAAAACAGTCATTGAGCACAATATGTACATTACTTGTGTATTATTGATTAAAGCACAATGTCACTTTGAAGTTAATCGTGCTTCGGCTACACATACCGGCATAAAACAGCACGTTTAAAACAACTGCTAACGTCGACGACCTCACGCGTGACCAACCGATGCTGCTGACATGCTCAGCTGTTTGGGCTTAAGTCACATCGGTTTGACCGCATGCACTCCGGCACGTCGGCTCAACTTTATCGAGGCTCGATAGAAGGACAGGCGTGCGTCAGGAACACAGATTTACCCTTTAACACGCCGAGCCTGTCAACTGGTGATCTGCGGTGGATGGTATCCCAACCACACTAAAGAAGGACTGTAATGCTGGTTTGGCTCCAGGATCAAACATCCAAATCTTTTAAATCCTTCCCCACCTTTTTTGAAGTGGATATGTCTGACTTGGACGTTCTGTTTCTGTTTGAATCGCAGGAGGTGGTCTCGGTCCAGGGGGATCATGAGAGACTTTTACACATACAGGGAGTTATCAAAGAACTGCCGACCCCTCACTTCAGGTGAACTTCAGCCCCTCACACTCATTTCACAGCGAGCAGAAAGCGATTGTCCAACCGACGGCCCAGATTTGACGAATAATGCTGTGGTGGTTGTGACAAGAAGTCTTGTGTGTCCTCAGGACTCTGGAGTACCTTACTAAACACCTGGCCCACCTTGCCACCTTAAGCAGCCAAACCAACATGCATACACGTAACCTGGCCCTGGTCTGGGCTCCAAATCTATTACGGTGAGTTCGGCTGCTTTACACTTGAACCATGTCCCATAGAGAAGTTAACATAGAGATGATTTCCAGTCTAGAAGATTTGTACTTTTTAGGCTACTTTAGCTTTGTATTTATACATTGTACGTGTTTGTTTACAATTCAAAGGATTCTAATGTGAATTATCTTTCATTATCTCAGATCTAAAGATATAGAGGCATCGTGTAATAATGGAGACATGGCTTTCCAGGAGGTGCGGATACAACAGTCAGTGGTTGAGTTCATTCTAAACCACACAGAAGAGATCTTTAGCAATGCGGTGCAAATAAAACCCAAAGAAGGTATTTTCGAAATAGATGTAAACTCCTTTTTTTGTTTTCTTTTTAGTAACTGCTATTCACCTTTTCAACTTACTATACTTTTCCAGGTGTGACGTGTGGGGAGAAGTACGCCACGCTCCCGATCAGTGGCCAGTGTGGGCCGATGAAACTGATGAGCCTGGAAGAAGCCCAGGCCCGTTCCTTAAGTCCGGACCACCCTGTGCATAAAGAGCGTCAGCGAGAGAACAGCCTGCCTAACACCAGCACCGCCACGCTCTACCACACCGTCATAGACGTGTCGGACAGCAAGTATGACACATCTGGACGCAGTCCATTGAACGTGTTTGATCCAGGGCGCTGTTTGAAAGCACCGGCCTTAATACTCGTGTTGGTCTGTTAGGAGGAAGTTTTCTGGGAAATCTAAGAAGTGGAAGTCCATCTTCAACCTGGGACGCTCTGTGGAGTCAAAGGGAAAACTCAGCCGGAACGGCAGCGTCTTCATAAGAGCACAGGGGACAGGTAAAAGTGTCCTGAGGGAGAGTCAACAATGGCACAACCGTTTCCCCGATTCTACAGCTTCCCGAGTTAGAATATTCAAAGTGTGATCATCTTCTTTCATACAGAAAAGGCAGCTCTTCGTCCCTCCAGGAGCATGGAGTCCATGTGCTCCTTGCCAACAGGTGGGGCAAAAAAACAACAACTAGATACTTTGATTCAAGCGCAGGGCAAAGTAAATATGACGACGTAACACTTCATGTCTTTTTACCACACAGATGACGACAGATCAGGAAACAGAGCCAGCGGATCCGGCAGCACATCTGTTCCAGATGTCAAGTCAAGGACGCTGGGATCCGACTCGCTCTTTGATCTGAGCGAACACGATGCAAACTGGGAGTTTACGAAAGGGACGAAAGCTGGAGGGGCGACAGGTGGCTGGAGCTCCAGCGTGGAGCCAAAGGGGTCCGCAGGGGCCTCCGCACCCCCTCAAAAAACACTGCCGGAGCAACTGAAGGTGTTCAAAGGCGACGACCTCAGCGGCTACAAGCCCACCTCTCCGAAAAGCCGGAGGATGTTGTACTCTGGCTCCTCCCACAACAGCTCCTCTCGGCCCTCCTTCCCGGGAAGCTTCTTCCCGCTGGAGTCCTCGCCGAGGCATCAGCGAAGGGCCGTCAACATATCGGAGCCTTTCGCCGTGTCCGTACCCCTGCGCGTGTCCGCCGTCATTAGCTCCAACAGCACGCCGTGCAGGGCGCACGTCAAGGACAAGGCCGCTTCTCTGAAGCCGTGCAAAGAGAACTCCGAGCACAGCGGCAACAGTGGAAGGAGCAACACTTTCCCACAAGTGGAACCCAAGAAGCAGGACGCAACGGAGAAGAAGAGGACGGAGGGGCCGACCTCGAGGGTCCTGGCACGGGGTGAGGACGCGTCATCACACGATGAAGTTTCTAAGTCATGCATGTCTGTAAGATGTCATCTCAACACTTTTTTCTTTAATTTAGATGCAAGCAAAGAAGTGTTGCAACAGGGTCATGGAGAGGTGAATACTTCTGAACTGGAACCAGCGTCCAGTGTAAATGGCAGAGAGACGGCGCCCTCTGCTGGGGGAGAGGTGCACAACCAGCAGACTACTCCTCAAGGGGTAAATCATGTAGGGTGTTACGGATGCTCTCTTTGGTTGGGGCTTACGTTTTGTGTTGATTTTATCATCATCTGGATTCTCCCAACTCGAAAGGACACAAATATTTCAAATAAATAAATAGTCATTAAGTCAAACAACGGATGGTGTCGGCGTTATCAGCAGCCAGCGGCCTTGGAGTGATCCGTCTAATTCTCAGACGTCAAATGAATTCAGATAACTGGGATTAGTTAGGAAGTAGGAAGTAAAATTAACACTGTAATATCAATTACAATACACCTGCTAAAGGAGGAAAGATTTGTTCCTCTTTTTTATTCCAACTGTCCTATGATTCATATTTCTGGAATATTTTAGTGGTAAATTGATAAGACTGATAAGAATAATTATGTTTTATAAATGGACTCATTGGTTATATTTAATCTTTGCCATTCCATTTTTCTTTTTGTTTCTCGTTTCTACCTCCTCAGGACGAGGGCTCCACTGGGGAGGAGCTGTGGTCGGACCCCGACCCGGAACTGAAGATAACTGAGCCCGAAGCCGACCTGCTGGCTGAGACGCTCAAACCCGTTTTCACCTCAAAGAGCACGTGTGAGGGAAGGAAGTTGACAATGGATGTCAAGTCAAAACAGAGCCGCAGCTCTCCGTCTCTGTCGCTGTTGTTTCGGGACCAGCCTTCGTGCCCCCCTCTGAGCGATCACCTTACCCCCACTGGGTCGGACCCGGCACGCAAAAAAACGCCCCCAGAGTCCGACATCTTACTCTCTCGTCCCAATAACACTGCAAAGCTGCGTTTAAACATCAAACCCTTTCATGAAGATGACGCGAAACCGGGCCGCCTTCCCTCAACAGAACCACGGTTGGATAAAGTAGTGAATCCCTTGACGATAGAGGACACTCCAACCGTTGCCGTCTTCTCAGGAGCGGATGAAACCCACAAAGAATTAAAGGAACTTGAAGTCCCCCAAGGAGACAAGAAAAGCGACTCTGGTGGTGATGCAGCGAAGGAGAGCGCGCTTCCCGCGGTGGACGTCATCCAGAGGCTGTCGGTGTGCGTGGAGGAGAGACGCCTCACCTTGGAGCTGCCAAACCTCCACCACGACGAAGGATGTGGAGGAAACCCCGAGGAGCTGGACCTGGTGGAGCCCTGGGAGGATTTCAGCTCCACCAAGCAGTGGGTCACCAGTCCGCTCCACTCGCCTGACGTGGAGGAGTTGTTTAAGCAGCTCTCCCCCTTCGGCACTCGCGGGGAAACTCCGATTTCTTCTCCTTCAGTCGACAATAACAAGCGGTGTCTTATTAAGAGCACTGAGCAATCCTCAGGGAACATTCCCCCGACCAGCAGCAGCAGCAGCAGCAGGCCGGAGACTAAAGGGGCGTCGGGGGTCGGTGGGAGCAGCAGCAGCGTCGCCACACAAGCTCACACGGGAAAGGGCAGCGCAACAAGACAGAAGAATACAGCGTCATCTCAGAGGTTCTACAGGCAGATGTCTTACGAGGCCGAGAAGAGAGTGGAAAACTGCTTTTCTAAACACCGGCCGTATTCACTCAATTTAGACCTCGGCCATCGATGCATCAGAGACATTTCCAACCAGCAAATCCGAAATTCATCAGAGTTTTCGTCTGGTCAGAGGGGATTACTGACCTCCTCTGAGTCGGTGAACAACAGGCTTCCCTCAGAGCTGGACTTGTTCCTGAGTGACCGGCAGGCGCCTCTGCGCCGGAACTCCGCCCCGGTCAGCGTGTCGTCGGTGCGGACGGCCTTCATGATAAAAACGTGCCAGGCCAAAGCCGTGCCGGTCGTCCCCCCGAAGGTGCAGTACAGCCAGATCCCTCCCTGCAGACGCGAGAAGGACGTTGATGCGGCGAAGGAACTAGAAAAGGATCACCCCAAAACGCCCGCGGAGAAAAGCAACGCGCCGGCGATGTCGGATCTGAAGGAGGAGCTGGAGAATAAAGAGCCTGAGCCCAAACACCGCAAACACCCACAGGCCGCCGAGGCCGCGAAGGCCAGGCCTGCAGGTGAGCTGCCGGTCATCGCCAGGAGACACGCGCCCAGCCTGGAAGTGTTCGTCGATTGTCCCAGACCCAGCAGGGGGAACGTCTTACAAAGGCCGTCCTTCAGGAACAGACAGAGACCCCAGAGCCTCATCCTGCTCAGCCCTCCCTTTCCCATCATGGACCACCCTCCGACGGGGGACGACGGCAAGCCGCTGTCGTCCATCAGGAGCCCGAGCGACGCCTCGGCGGCCAACGTCTTTTCCAAGGAGGCGGCGGACAGCGTCAGGACGTCGGAAGGGCTCGCCCTTCAAAACAAAATGACCATTCCGAAGAGTGGACAGAGGCTGGAAACGTCAACCAGCTGCTTCTACCAGCCGCAGAGGAGGTCGATGGTATTTGACAGCAGGAGCCACAGACAGATGGAGTGACAATCGGGAAGTGATATGATGTCGATTATAGCTCTGTGTTGTGCTGTGATTCACACATTTCACAGAGAGGGAGGCTTTGTAAAATTTCAGATTTTGAATCGTTTGAGAAGGTGTTGATTCATGTGAAAGCCATTTAAACTTGACCGGAATCTAGGGCTGTAACTAATGATTTATTTAAATGTTCTTGATTAGTCAATTGAATGTTTGGGCTTTTAAAATATCAGAAATGGTCATTGGGTTTCTCAGAGCCCAACTTATGTTTTTAAAACGGCTGGTTTGGCGGAAACCAAAAGATATTCAGTTTACTATCGCAGAAGACTTTGAAAACAAATAGGAAACAAAAGGGAGGATTAACTCAAGGTCCTCTTAATGGCTTTTTCAAGAGGTTTGGACTGCATCTCACAGTCCCTCTTGTAGGATGGAGTTCATTCAGTTGCGTCCTGAAGGCGGCTCACTGAGCGAGTGTCGTCCACTGAGGAAGACACATGGTCGAAATCTCCTGCAGAAGCTATAAGGGACTATGCGTTTATTTATTTATTTTTTGTCTAATTCAGAAAGTCTTTTTCAGCCTCTGCCAGTCCAAAGAAACTGTTGTCTTGTCACCAGGTTTGTAGTGGGCATCAGACTGCTTGTGGTCGTCACTGGAAATGGGGATTCAGGGCCTTTTGTATTTTCTATGTCTGGATTCTGCTAAAAAAAACAACTCAATTTTTAAAGAATCACAATGCAGAACCAACAAACCAACCGACGCCGTCAGTGTCCATGATGTCACGACGTATAGTTGTATTATTTTAATTTACTGACCTGTTAGAGTTCCTTCTGTATCAGATTGCGACCTCATATGAATATTCTGAACTGAAATATATCTTTGGACATTAAGGACTCTGAAGAAACTACAGAACTAACAAAGAAACTATTGGACAACCAAAAATTTGATGGGTTTATTTATTCCTATATTAAGATACTCGTGTTATGAAGTAAACGTGATATATGCTATATGTATTGATTGGCTCCGTGACAAGGTGATGTCAATGTGATTTTTTTTTAAACTAATATTTAAAAGGAAATTATTTTTTTCTGATTTAAATGCATCAAGAGGTTTTTGATGGTTTTTACCCCCTGATGAACTTCATTTCAAATGTATCTTTGGTTTCCATAATTGTTAGATATTTTATGGCTTTTGTTTGTTCGTTGTTTGTTTGGTTTTTGACTATAACGACAACCAGTATTGTAGAAGAGGGTATGTGATGTTGTGAGGAGTAAAACCCTGGAGCTGCTGACGGGGACCTGGAGGGCAAGTTTGTGCAAGCTGACTGTTTTTTACGTGTTTGAGTCAAAATCATCTCCGGGTTTTTATTAATTTTCTTTGCATTTAACAAACAAAGGATCTGACGTATTGAGCTTTATCACCCATGAACATAACAGAGTTTGGATGTTAAGAGTCTCCGGTGTATTTTCTAAAGATGCGGATGTTATTGAGGTGAAGTTTGGATGGACTGGATGAATGTTTGCAGTGTTGTATCCAAAAAAAAGATTGAGAAAGGAATGTTTTTTAAATGTGTTTTGTAACTTTTGTATACTTGTTGATACTGAAAACGATTGACGAAATCGTCTGTATTCATAGGAAAAACAAACCGAACTGACAATTTTAGATGATGGTTTTGTTTAAATTTTATCTGAAGCTATGTAAAAAAAAAGACACTTGATGACTTTTATTGAAATCAAACATTATGGGAATAAAAAGTTCTGAACTTTCTATCTGATGGGATTCTGTGGTTGGCACCCGTGTAGCTTTAGTGTTCTATATATGAGAGATTATTATAACGGCTTAATACAATTTTGGGGTTGAACTGTGCATAAATATGTCACTTTGTCAAACATTCGTGTTTTTTTGGCTCTGATAAATCATCCAGCTGCGTTCTTTGCCAGCAGGTGGCGCTCCTGCGACACACTGCGCGTGTGAACGAGCCACTGAACTGCGGGATAAACAGCGAAAGTCCGCCTGCTTCTCTACATCACGACATCTCAACAGATACTGTGGCCGAGAAGAAGGGGCCTCCAGCCCGTCTCTACACACGAGAAAAACCGACGCCCTTTGACCCGTGACCCATTTCGCGTCAATGTGTTTACGCGTGTGCGCGTGGATTGTGCGCGCGTCCTGCATGCGTTAAGCTGCCCTTCACTTGCCTCCGTCGGTCCTTTTTAAACCAAATGGTCAATTTCAATAGAATGGGACCATAATGCAAAAAAATAATGATAAAGAGATCTCACGTTTTAACAACGCAGACCGTTAGAGTAGAAGACGTGTATGTTTGTTTGAGTCACGTACCTTTTTAAAACATATTTTTTAATCTTCGTATGTGCCTCGCGTGTTCCCCTGTTCTCGGCTCGTGCTCATGTTCGCACGTGGAATGAAGGTCGGGCAAAAATGTTCCCTGTAACTTTATCCAAACGTCAAATCAAATCTTTTTTTATATATAAAAGCCCATTGTCCTTTCAGATGGAAGCAGCGGTGGCGCTCGCAGAGGTCACTTCCGTGTCTGCACAGTTCATTATTTCTCGACCTTTGACACTCGCTTGTGTATGAGCCGAGAATTAGAAAGGCGCATTCTGGAGCTCACTGAAAAAGGCAGAGCGCGGCGCGCGCGTTGAATATTCAATCAGAGGGGGGGGGGGGGGGGGGGGGGGGGTAAGCGAAAGTGACGCTGCGTGCCGGTCCTTCATCGTACGTTGCTGATTAGCTGTTAAACAGATTATGTGCCGCTGAATGGGTTCGAATGTGGCTCCAGAAAACAGTTCGGAGTTCAATGCAGTGCGGTTTCCTTTGCTGCCACTTCAGTTGGATGAACACACGTCGTTGCCACTAACGGCTCCATAATGAAACGTGTAGCTGTTCAATTTTTCCCACTTTAACCGCAGTCGTTAAATAAAACAAAACACCAACAAAAAAAAAACATCGAGTGCAACTGAAATCGGAGGTTGAGCTGTTTGGATGTAGCTGTGCCAAAACAAAGATATATTAATACCTTTTATACAGACTGTGAACACAATTCACATTTAGCTGAATTCCCAACGTTAATCCAAATGGAACAGCCACTCTCAAATGATCCACAAAGTAATACTATATATTTTTGAGATAAGCAGTCTATTTCACTCCAGTTTAATGTGGAAACAACACTGAATTAAAAAAATACCATCAAACACCTAGAAGTAATTAAATACAGGGATAAAGGGGCGTTAAACTATTAAATACTTGTTTTGCAAAAACATCCTGTTGAAAATAACCTCCTCTCTGCCAACAAAGAGTCAGTTCTCTACATTTACAAGTGAGGCAGGGGAGCTTGGAGCAGCAGGCGTTTCTCTTTTTAAATGAGTAAACGTGCACGTTATAAATGTACTAAAGTGTTCAAAAGTTTATAAAGTATTTCTTTAAAGTTTGTATTTCATCATGTGAGTTCTACTATACACATTTACTAACCTGTATAAGTTTAAAGTTGTTAAATGTGCAGTGCCACAGCAAGCCACGCGGGTCCTAAAGAGCTCTCATTGAGAAGCCACGTGTCCGTTTCCAAAGCCTCTCCAACTTAACCACCTCCTTTGTACGACTAACCCACATCGGCAGCGTCCCTCCACATAAAGGGATTTGCAATTTCAAGATATTTCAGCTTAAATGTTTTTGACAGTTCCCCCGCTTTTACTTCGGCTTGGTTATTTTAACTGTGCCAAATGGGTCACCTTGGGTTGCTGTCTGCGCGCAAAGGGCTTTTGCGCGCATTCAGTCTGAATTTTTTCCAACTTTCCTTGACGGGGAAACCAGCTGCTGGTCGTGAAAAGACGGCTTATTAATTGTCCTTTGTCATGCAGAATTGCTTGATTTCTAAAGAAACGTACAAAGGCTCTTTTTCAGGATTCAAGTATTTTGTTTCGTGCGTATTTTCAAACCATCGAATCAGCTGCAGCGCCGCGCCGTCTACCAGACTCTCAGGTACTGACTGCCTGCTCCCTTTGTCCCCTTTTAATGCTGTTGTAAATCGTGCAGACTGATTTGTTACAAGCTGTTCTTTTAATCTGATAGATAAGAGACATGTCAAAGAAAAGCCGTAAATAAAAAATTAGCCGGAATAAAGACAAGGGCGAGTCTGCTAGATGGGCGCCTGTTGACTCAAGCGGCTCTCCAGCGTCAGGGGAGCCCTCTCCTCAGCTCCGTCAAGGTTACGTCCACAATTCCCTTTTCTTCTTTTTTAAAAGACACCGTGGTCCTTTTTGCTACAATGAATTGATCGGCACAAAATTAAGAATAAATAAATTGAGCATTTGGAGCACCGAGCGTATAAGCTCCCCCAGGGCGCATACCCCCGGGCTATTGAATGGATAAAGGGCGCTTTGCCGAGGACGATGTGAGCAAAATGGGGCTCTATGGTGCAATTAACAAAATAGTCTAATCCCATATCTTAACAAATGCAAATATTTGAGTTTTGTTAAAATGGTTAAGTGAACAATTAATTCAAAGTTTACTCGGGAAAATTCACATCCAAAAAGACCCACTGGTGCAGATAATGTGCTGTACGCAATTTAAGAGTTTTTATTACCTTTAAAAAAGTCCAAAGCAATTTAGCAAGTAAAGCAAATACACATTAAATACTTTTCAACATAAAACATATCATTTTGAGAACCGAAGCTTCAGTCCGAGAGCAGCTGTAGTGGTGCGTAAAATACGTGAAGAAAGCTGTAAACAACTCCTGGCTTTGTCCTTATGGAGAGGTTTTAGTGACTAGATGGCATATTTTTGTACTTACATTTAAATAAATGAACACTGTATTTAGACCGGTTTTACCAAAATAAACAACAGAAGTATTCGCCTTCAAGACTTATGAAGGCGAATTTATGTTTGAGGATCCATCCCTATTATTTTACTTGGCATATTATTATTCATTTACTGGATTTTATTATTTGTCATAAAAATGACATTATATAGAAATGAATAATTCTGTCTGTTTGTGATTTAAACAATGTTGGCTGAGCCAAAGAGGCTTACGTGCAGTCAAAAATAAACCTGGAGCTCATTTAAAAGAGAATAAAATGGACCATACTGGTGCGTAAGAACAATATGGGTCATGGACACCAAACTGCTTCTCTTCCTCATTTGTTTTCATGTTAGATCGATATCTTAAGATATGCACACTCCTGATGCACCCGCCACCATTATTAACTCAGTCACACGACACAGATCATTTCAGCTGGGAATAAACCTGAAAGAAGCTCTCGGGGCCAGGCAGATATATTTGCGTTGAGTGTCCCCCAGGGAAAGCATATAATAAAGGACCCCATAACAACGTCTTTACCAGCTCTTGGTGATAAAGATTATTGAGCATTTGATTCACTCGTTCAGCTCATGTTGCCTAATGCGCTCCTTCTGGACACACGAGTGCGTTTTGCTGGTCTGGAGTGCAAGCTGGGAACGCCTTTGTCCTCCCCAACTCCTTTTTTAGCTCTCTTAGAAAACATTGTGGACCTTGTCCATCACCCTTGTACGTCTTCTCATGCACAAAATACACTTCACGCACAGAAACTGTGCCCCCATGTGAGAGAGGATTAATATATATTTAAAAATGGCAATGAAATAGTGTTGCGTCTAAGCAACTGCATGAGATTACATGTGGTGTAAAAAAAAAGGTGTAATTAATGTTACCATTTAGAACCAAAACTATCAGACAGTATTTGAGATTGTTTATCTTTTAACAGCATCGTCTGCATCTTGAATGTAATGCCGATATCAACACGAGGTTACGTGCGCCACCGCGCGCACTCAGTGGTGCGCAAAGACCAAACTATTTAACTCACACCACAACATAGTTTTCCGCTCAGAAATATTTTTATTTAAGTATCAACATTTTTAAATAAATAAATATTTTTACAATTACAGTGAAGATATAATTTACTGAGTCGTTTCAGTAATGTGACATTGAGGGGATCTTTCTCCAGCTTTTGATATTTGACGTCACCGTTCCATCCACAGAATGAATCTAACCAGTAGTCATCATGTATACAAAATACTCCCCCCCCCCCCCCCCCCCAAAAAAATACTAATAAACAATGTTGCTATTGTTTTTGTGGGTTCTTCTTTACAAATAAGCCTATCGCATTGGCAACAACAAATGGACCGTTTTCAGAAAAAAACTACATACAAAACGTACAACATGTATACAGCTATACAATAATTCAGAGCAAATCCCTGATTAAATATTCTCTTTCTATGTACAAACGACTGAACAACAAGTGGCACAGTCTGTTTTTTTTAGGTTTTTTTTTTGGCTGTATTCAAAAATCATGAGGACCAAAATGTTTTGTCGGGGAATAAGCAGGAGAGTTCAGGGGGAGACGGACAGGTCCACGTCCTCCTTATCGGACGAGGAGGGGGATATGGGAATGTCGTCGTCCTCTTCCTCCGAGCATCTCGCGGTTGACAGGGAAGAGCATTTGCAGTTGTGTGATCCAGTCCTTTGCCCGCTGCTCTTGCCCTCCTTTTTGTGCTTCACCCTGCGGTTCTGAAACCAGATCTTCACCTGTTTCTCGGACAAGTTCAGGTACGTGGCGATCTCGATGCGCCTCAGCCTGGACAGGTACATGTTGGACGTGAACTCTCGCTCCAGCTCCAAAAGTTGCGTGCTGGTGAAGGCTGTGCGCATGCGCTTGCTGCTCTGAAGTTTGCTGTTGCTGTTTTCTGTAAGAAAAACAAACACAATAAAGAGAGACGGTCAGCCCACGGTTCATGTTACGGCAACACTTTGTTACGTGGCTTTGCCCGCGCAATAAAATAACACACGAGCCCTTCACTCACCGATGGAGATGCAGTGGAACTGTCGCGGGTCCGGGACGGAGTACGCCGCTTGGTATATCCCCGGTGCGTGGCCGAGGTTGGCCGAGGAGTGCTGCCTCGACAGGGCCGAGTGGCAGTACTGCGAGCCGAAGGGCGAAAAGGACGCCTTGAGGAGCGGCAGCGTCGGCGGAGACGGGTGGAGCTGCGACGCGGTCATGCACAGCGGGCAGAAGCACAGCAGCCCGGCTTTCCTGGAGTGGCAGGAGCCCGGCAGCCCGTGCGGGTGGTGCGGCGAGTGCACGGCGTACGGGAACAGCGGCGGGTTGTTCTCGCTGCCCTTCTCGTTGGCCTCCCTTAAAATCAAGGAATCCACGAGAAAAGACCTCGGCATGTTGGCGAACGTCGTCGTTGTTGTTGCTGCTGCTGCTGCAGACGCGGCGGTAGGGGGGGTGGCTGAAGCTGAAGCTGGCGCGCGCGGTGGTGTCGGCGGTGCTCTCCTCGGGGCGGTGGACAGCGAAGTGGTGCTGAAGGCGCAGCGCGGCGGCTTAAATAGCCGCGCGCGCGGACTCGGTTGCGGCCATGTGACGGTTACGCCGTAAGCGGCCAAGAGCTCTCAATAGGGTTTTGTGCCTTTCTCTTGGCATTCCCACTGCACGCTTCCCCATTATTTCACTTGTTAACTAAATGAACTGCATAATGTAGTCTATTCTTGTCAGCCCCACCCACGCCGCGAGAGGCGGCACTGCCCATTCTCCCTTTTATCATCACCCTCATTTTATCATGGAGCACAGTTTAGAAAACGTCCCCGTCACATTTGGAAAAGCCGGTGTATGTATTCAAGTTTTGTCTTAGACATTGAGCGGCCTATTAGGTACGTATATAGTCTTAATTATGTCTGTATAACCAGGGCAAGGAGAGACGTCCAGACATATTTAACAACTGCTAATGTACATTGTTGTTAACAGTAGGGACGTTACCGACTCATTCCCATCGTTTATTTAAGAGGATTACTGTGCCTGATGAGGTCATTAGAGGGTATTTGTTATCAGCTGTATTTGCACTCCTGTATGTCTACGTTTCTCCGCGTTATTTATTTGTCTGAATAAACGCCAACGATGCTCCTGCTGATTTAGTGTAAGTTTTTAGCGGTTAATTACGCGAACAGGTATTTTGCACTTGTGTGGCTTAACCGTGAGTGTTGTGCGCAAACATAAACGCAACAGCTGAATGTAAAGTTTATGCATATCCATTTTAAGGTTAATGTGTCATTTCTGGGCACAAAAAAAGAAGGGACAAGTCATCGCCCGAAGGCAGTGCTGTTAAGGAGCAGTGATTAATTCCTTTGCTCGGGCCCCTGCCGAGTCGAGGGAAAGAATATGTAAAAATAACCAGGTTTTCACTCCGCGGCCCTTATTGAATGTCATTGTGGAGGGGTTTCAATGAGAGAGAAAGAGAGTCGAATTAAAGTGTGTGACAGCGGCGGATAGACGCAACAAAGGCGACTCTGTCATAGAGGAGCCCAGTGCGCGGCGCGTGAAGCCCCCGCCTCGCGCACTGATTGAATTAAGTAATAGGAAAACATTTTCTTTCACTTTAAGGCTCCCCGAACAAGACCTTCAAAGGGGCGGGACCCGTAATGTGTGAGTAAATAGTGGAATGCCATTCCTTTCCCTTTTTGGTAAACAGTTTGTTGATATCTTAAATTAAAATATGAGCTCGGGGACACAAAGAGAGAGAACGCCGCAATGCCCCGGCGCAGTGATGCGTAATGTCAAATACATTTCAGTTATTTCCTCGCGAACTTGCTGCTTTATTGTTGGTTTTCTCTGAGAAGAGGCTCGCCTTTAGTCGTCTGGTTCTGTCAACTCTGTGGGTCGATTTGTTCTCTGCTTTTTAGGCGTATTTTCCACAAATTTCCGCGTCTGTCGTGTTGGCTCTTGAGCTCTAAAACATCCACCACACGAGGGTGTGATGCTATCTGTTTTCTCCTCATTAAAGAGGCCTAATGTGCTCAGCTTCACACTGCTAATCTGCCATTAAAGACTGGACCTGTAATTAGGCTGCGCCATTAAAGTACAAATTAGGAGCAGTTTAAACCCTTTAACGAGGCAAAATATGTTGTACTGGCGGGAGCCAGTTTCATTTTTTCTATTAGTCAACCCTTTCATGTCCTGCCAGGGATTATCCATTAACTTGTCTGTCAATCCCGTCGCATTCCATCGAATCCGTAAATACAAATCTATCGCTTTTTATTACGATTGTTAATGAGGTAACAAGTTAATGACATGTTTTCGGTTTACCTTAAAAGGGCCATTACTCTCGCTCAGAACGTGCCATATTATGGGCTCAAGCACAAAATTAAATAGAAAAAATGTGTATTTTTTTTTTCAGCCCGCGGGGCTAAACACCTCAGATTTAAAAAGCATCGTGCCTCAAATCCTGTTTTTTTCCTTCTCACTCCGGCAGATAGTCTGCATGTGGGGGCAGCTTGATGCATTGCTTAACATAAAGATGTTATCAAAGGCCCTAATTTTCAAATTATGTACAGCAGTCACCCCGTGGATAGGAATAGAGGTTTCATGGGTCGTCACGCAGGGAGGCTCATCCTAATTTGCAATCCCAACTGGAGACTGACAAATAGTTTTGACCTCCCTCTGGAGGCGCGGGCCAGAAGTGCAAAGAATCTCATTCTCCATAATCACTTGTTACTGAGATAAATAATCGAGGGGAAATAGCCCACTCGCATTATTTCGACTCTATTACAGTTTTTCTTTTTGCTCTGGTCCCGAGCTAAAAAAGATATATACATTTATAGTCACTTATGGTAATATCGATGCATCATCACATCCATCTTTTCCCCACAAAGCAGTGAGCTCCGTGCGTTCAGTAACTAGCATACAGCTGTGGGTTGGTAAAGCTTCTTAACGTTCATGTTAGATCGGGGGGGGAGCACCGTCCCTGAAATAGTAAATTATTTATAAGATATTAAGTTGGAACAATTGCCATCACTCAAGTTCATCCCTCCGATGATAACACTGACCAGTGCCTGTTGTGCCGTTGGAGAAGCACATTTTCAGGGGCTTTTATGCAATTATACCCAAAGATCTCGTGCCTGATGACATAAAGAGAGCAGACTGTTTATGGAGATGTAGTCAATATCTCCTTTTCTTTTTGGTATGAATAATTCATAGTTTAAGACACTATCCCCCCGCACTTAATATGTACACACACTTAAACACCCACACATCTCTAATACAAATGATGGTTTTAGCTGACAGTGTAACAGGATTTAAGGTCCCAGTGGGGTTTGGCCCAGCCGCGGATGGGCGCTGTGACTGTCGACGTGACACAGAGGGCCGGCTGCCCCTCTTAATCTCCCCCTGAGGCAACATCACAGACCGCGGATCCTGCTGCACCTCTATGGACGCACAAAGGCCTGATTATCATTCATATGCTTCCCAGAAACACCAGCGCAATAGATAACAGATGACACATAAGTACCAGCTGAATGGTGCAATACGTTGAGGCCGCATGGAGTCCATTGGGACTAATGAATCCTAAAGAGAGAGGCGGCCCGACAAAGAGATGCAGTCATTTGAGGTGTCGTGATGTGTCAGATTTAAGGCTCAACAGGTGAACATGGACTTGAACTAACTGCTTTAGGTTTGTTAATTTGCAGTTGTAAGGAATAAGTAACCAGCTCAACAGAATGGGTTTTTTCATGCTGAGCAGTGTCAACATTTATAAACTCAAACCGTGTCAGAAATTGTTTTAGAATGATGATATTCTAGCGACTATTTCCAAATAATGGACTTTTATTCAGCATTGCCTCACAATTAAACAGATCAAATAGCGTATAACATTCACATAGGTTATGAAAAACATCCAGCAAGTCAACATTAGTTAATGTAAGAATTTTGTTTGAAAATGTGTTTTTTATTTCCTCAAAAAGGTTTGCTGAGATGAACCTCTCTTCCATATGTCCCTTCTTCAGTAGAAGAAGCAGCCCAAATATGAGCCTGAAGAGGGATTTGTTCCGTGTTCTACTCATCCTTCACAATATTTGACAAACATCGTTTGAAGGCACAGATTTCTACCTGAACTTTGATACGATCACAATTTCACTGCTGCAAATGTAACATGTTTGGCCGCTGGAGTCCATCCAGGCAAAAACGATCATCAATGCTCTACTTTTTAAATTTCTGACAACACATTTGAGGCACTGAGTCCCCCTTGGTTCCTCAACAAGTGTCAAATATCACATTCAAAGCAAACATGCTCTGCCGGCAAAATGGCAATATATCTTACAGGTTATAGTGAAACATCCACACAGCTGTGCCTCTTTGTGCACAGCCTCATTTTTTTTTGCATTTATTTATCCACCTGTAAGCTTTCAAATATGGGATTTATTTAGCTGCAAATGTTAAATCATGAATATACACCCGGATACACCACTGAAAAGCGAGAGGCCACGCGGCACACTGACACGTCTCCACATGTGTGAATATGACAAATGATGCACCAAACGTCGCGCTGAAAAAAGTCTGAGCTGCGGTTCATTGAGGAGCTTCGTAAAAATCTCCTAGCAACCTCGGTCATGGAGGTCCAACTGGACGGCTACTAATCCAACAGCGAAGGAGGATCAGAGTGTTTACAAAAAGTCACTCCTGTAATCAGCAGCGTTGGAAAAGTTAGAACATCTTACCAATTATTGTGATACAAATATATTATGTAAGCTTTATGCATTGAAATGTCTAAATACAACCAACCTTGTGGTATCTATTTGGTTAAGTTGTGTGAATTATCTCAAATCTCAAAGGCAAATCAGTTATTTTAATTTGGGTATCATGATATTTGGTCTGTGGCATCCGCTTTACGGTCAGCGTAGTTTGCTGCTTGAAGATGTGATCAATAGAGTTTTATCTGGTTTTAAGAGGCTTATTTTTTTATACATTTTAACCAAAATGTTTTCATCGGACACCAGCTTGGATTTTATGTCATCAGAGAACACGCTGAGGAAAACAGCTTCAGAGAAACCAGTGGCTTTGAACTTGAAACAAGTATTCTCAGTATTTTTACTGGTTTTAATGACTGAGTCAGTTTATTTTCAAGTGGGGTAATTGAAGGAATCCTACATACTACCCTAACTCTATTTGTGCAGGAAATGTGAAAACAACCGCTCACGACCAAAGTGCTTAACAGGCACAAAATACAAAGCAGGAACAGAAGAAAACACTATAAAATCAATCGATCGTGTTTAAGAAAACATCCCAAGCTACTTTACAACATAAAAAAAACTCACCTTTTGTCAATGTTTTTATGATGAGTCCCCCCAGGGTGCAACATGACATTTTGTGTCATTATACTTAGTGTTTCAAATGAAAACAACTTATAAAAATCTATGACTGGGACGGATGTGTTTGACTTCAGGCTGAGTGCTGTTGCTCGCTGCGTCCTCTTCACGGCTGGTCACACTGACTGAATGACCTGACACAGTTAATGAATAACTAATACACAGAATCAATCAGCGATCTAACAAAGAGACACATTGTTGATGGAGACCCAATCAGTGATGTTGAACATGACTATACTCTCGGATGGTTGGATGGTTTCGCTCTTTTCAAG